GTACATTCCTGAGGTCTTTTATCTGTTGTAGCTTTGTCTTTTTCTTTCTTTTCATTACATCAGGTGTAATGCCCTGTAAATTGTGGTAGTGGTACCAGGAATAAAAAATCAAGGAATTGTAAAAAAAAGAAATTAAACCTCTGTTTGATAATCCTTTACTATATTGTTAAGCTCTGTGACATTTTTGCAAGTTGTCCTATTTTTAGTGCTCTTGTATTGCAACCTTACATGCTTTTTTTTTTTGTAATAACCTTTTTTGTTAGAGGCTTTAGGTGCATTAACGGTTCTCAGCTATATTTTTGTTAGAATAAATAGGCATCATCTCCTTGTTAAAAATTGTATTTTACAGTAGTGCTTCAATAGTTCTCAGCTAAATTTTAGTCAGAATAAGCACCAACTTTTTGTTAAACATTGTTTCATAATATTATCATTGCCATTTTATCAAATGCCATTCTGTCTCAATTAAATTATTCATATTCTCAGAGAAAATATTGATACAATATTGTTTTCTCATGTGGATTATGTAGTACAGTATTTTGTTATCCTCATTGCTTATATGTATTATTTCCAGGTATTTCTATTCTCTTAATTTATGACCATCATAAAACAAACATCACAGTACTAGATGGAAAGAATTGCTCTTACATGTGCTTTTTTTTTTCTTTGGTAGTGCTGGGGATTGAACTCAGGACCTTGTGCTTGCCAGGCAAGCACTTATTCTGCTGAGCTATCTCCCCAGCCCAGAATTGATCTTTCAGAGAGCCAGTGAGATTGCTCAGTGGATTAAACGGCCTGCTTAGACAGACACAGGGGTGGGGGGTTCCATCCCAGGCCTGCTGTGCTGGCCCCGCCCCTGGGGCTCGCTGTGAGCGTGGTGGTGCATACCTATAACCCCAACACGGGAGACTGAAAAACAGGAAGGATCATTAGGAGTATCATCTGTATAGTGAGACCCCGTAGACCCTGTACTAAATACATTTAAAAACAAATTGCTGTTTCAGTGATAAGTCACTCAAGTTTTTGATTTTTTTTTTTTTTGTATGTTGTTTTAGGGAAGGGTCTACAGGATGTTCAGGGCCTCATTATAGTGATCCGCCTGTTCACAGCCTCCCAAGAGCTGGGATTACAGCCACGCCACCATGCCAAGCCTTAATTGCCACCTCTTTGCGCCCCAGGGGTGGGGCTGGCCTGGCAGGCCCAGGGATCAAACCCCTGGCCCCTGCGCCTGCTTGTAGGCACTTTAATCCACTGAGCTATTTGGCTGGCCCTCAAGGTTTTTTTAAGAAATACCAAAAATCCCTTCATATTTTTTACTTTGATAACAGAATTTTATTGGGCTGGGGAGATAGCTCAGCAGCTTAAGCACCTGCCTGGCAAGCACAAGATCTGGAGTTCGATCCCCAGTACAACAACAACAACAACAAAAAGAATTTTATGAAACTTTCTTAATACAAATTTTAAATTTTGATTCTTAAAATTTTTCAGTGGAGGTTGCTTAACATTCAAGACTAATAAATGAATTTTCTATTTCTCAGTGTCAGAGTTCGATTAGCTGCTGTTACCTGTTTGAAAAATATTTTAGCCACAAAGACGGGACATAATTTCTGGGAGATTTATAAGATGACAACTGATCCCATGCTGACCTATCTACAGCCTTTTAGAACATCAAGAAAAAAGGTCTCTTAATAAATATTTACTAACTGTGTCATATATCTGTTTGCTTTGGGTTATATCAGATTGCTTAAAGTAATAACTTACTAACATTTAGCCTTTCCTAGAAATAATTTCAACTGTACTTCTTTATTCAAGAGAAGGGCCGCAGAGATAGCTCAGTGGTCTAAGCGCTTACCTAGGCAAGCACAGGACCCTGGCTGGATCCCCAATACCACGTGCCGCTCTGGCCCTACCCTCGGCACATGGAGCAGGCCACCTAGACTGAGCGTGGTGGTGCTTGCCTGTAATGTCAATGCTTGGGAGGCTGAAAACAGGAGGATCACTATGAGTCCAGCTGCATAGTGAGAACCTATACCAAATACATAAAATTAAAAAAAAAAAAAAATCCAGGGAATTTTTAACGGTGTAGCAATATGGAAAAACTGAGATAATGTAGAGAAGTGATGGTTGACTTGAAGATAGGAAAAATTTTTAATGATCTACCTTTGTGTCTTATGAACAGAAAACCCTCTGATCCCATAAAAGCCATTGATCCTCGGTGTATTTTATAGGTATTATGATAAATAAGCATTTATTTCCATAGAAAATTAATGTATTAAAACTTCTATGAAATATATGATGCAGTAGAGAGTCTCTTTTCTTTTCCATGTTGATATCGTTACAAAGTGCAACAAAACATTCTGTAAAGGATGTTGAAGAACTCTTACAGTTCCCTTAACCAAACATTCTTCTTTTCATAGTTTGTTGTTTTTTTTTTAACATTTATTTGTGTGTGTGTGTGTGTGTGTGTGTGTGTGGCCAGCTCAGCCCACCAGGGAGTGGGGCTGGCTGGCATGTGGTGCTGGGGGATTGAACCGCGGTCCCTGTGCTTTGCCAAGCTTGTTCCAAGTAGGTGCTTTAGACCACTGAGCCATCTCACCAGCCCCTTCTTTTCATAGTTACTGAGAAATGTATTTAACTTTTCCCTAATTTACTTTCAGGGCATGCATGTGGGTACATTGAAGTGGTATCTTACACTACTGTATGTATCAAATCTAATTTGGCCTTAAAATTAGTACTGTATTAACTATTAATGAAACTTGTAATATAACCTGTGAAGCATTATATTGTAATATTTTAAAAGTATCAATTCTTTGTGGAAGATTTGGATTTGAGAAAGATGAGACAGAATTGTGATGTGTATAATCTATGTACATGCTGCTAGTGACAGTACCTGCACCCGTTTTCTGCAGCCAAGACCTTTAATTTTAACCAACCCACTCTTCATTTCATACAAATATGTTTTGATTCCAAGAATAATGGTTGCCTCCAGAGTTTAAGTATATTTAATTTTATTTAACAACAGATTAGTTGTTCCTAGGTTTCATTTTACATAGGAAAGGTAAATAATTTTCTGATTCTGTTTACATTTTTTATTTTTAGTTTTTAGAAGTTTCCAAACTTGATAAAGAAAGTGCTTTAAAAGTCTTGGATGATACTAGTCTGTGGATTCCTCAAAGTGAAAATCATGATACTTGGATAAAGACATTGACTTGTGCAATTTTGGACAGTGGAGGCACAAAAAGTGAAATTCTTCAATTAGTAAAGCCAATGTGTGAAGTAAGAAAATTAAATTAATTCCTTTTTTTTGCCTTTGCTTTTCCCATTCCATCTGGCTTCTGTGAGAATGATCATGACCTGGTACTGCACATTGTCTTCCTGCAGGGTTACACGCAGGAGCAGTATATGCATCTAGGTTCAGCTAGAACTTCACACAGGCTTCAGGTTTGGGATAGATGAGTTCTAAGGGTTGCCCTGAGCAGTGCTCAAAATGGTTAGGATATTGATGATCTTGAATTATTTGTGCTAACAAGAAGCTCTGACTTTGTTTAATTTGGTAAGATTACTGTCATTTACATTCTGCTACAGTTCACTGATTTAAAAAAGTGGGGGTAGGAGTTAGCATTTTTTTTTTTTTTTACTTTTGAGTAAACAATAAAGATATGTCAAATAAAAGTTGAAATAGTCTTTTGAGGGGTTGGATATAATATTCAGTGGTATATCATGGTTTTTGGAATGGGTGATGTCCTGGGTTCAGTCCACAACACTATAAATGAAAAACACGACTAGACGGGTGAGGGAGATAGCTCAGTGGCGTAGGTGCCTGCCTGGCAAGGGCAAGGTCCTGAGTTTGATCCCTGGTACCACACACACACACACACACACACCTGCTGGAATATTTTATCAAATGCATTATTAAGGACAGTACAAATAATGACTTTGAAACATACACAGTGACCTATCAAACGTGATTTAAACCAAATGTGCAAACAGTGTTGAACTGGATCAAAGATGTTCCAATGAAAACTAATTGATAAGAAAGTGGTTTGAACAAGTATTAGCTATATTGAAAGTTTAAAAAAGCAGTCTTTATAAAGTGAGCTGTTATATGACTGATCTGTAAACTCTAAATGTTTATTTTAAACAGTTTTTATTGTATTCATTTAAATTTATTATTTTTTACAATGTGCAATCTATTATTAATCTCATGTTATGTATTCATTTCAGGAATGTTTTTCTAAAATTCACTTTGTCTGTATCTTTTTTTTTTTTTTGGCCGAACCAGGGATTGAACTCAGGCCCTTGCACTTGCCAGGGAAGCACTTATCCTACTGAGCCATCTTCCCAACCCTTCTGTCTACATCTTATATCTTTCACATTTCAGTATTTGTCTACAATTTTTGATTTGCTATATAATTATTATTGATTTTCAATAAAGTTAATAATGAGTTAAAAATAAAAAAGCAGTCTTAGTTAGGAGTGGTGGTAAAACCTGTAATCCCAGCACTGGGGAGGCTAAGGCAGGGAGATTACCTTAAATTCAAGGTCAGCCTCAACTACATATAGACACCCTGTCTTTAAAAAATAAGTAATACAGCAGTCTTTGTTTTCTACAGAAAAAGTAATGGCAATAAATAAATCATTACATTTGCTGCAGTGCTATACTCATATTAGTTGAACAGAGTAGTACCCTGAGCTTATATTCAGCTTACAGATCATTAGTCAACAAAGCTAAGTATTTTAATAGCATCTTGACTTTGAGCCAGAAAGTAAAATGTATGTACCTGTGTACATCAAATATACTTGTATATATACCCCACTTCTTAGTACTTTGAAATCCTTAGTACCATGGAGGGAGGTGGAAAAGGATGACAAGGAATTAAGGTGTGTTACACACCTGTACCATACTCTGAATATAATCATTATGTACTGCAGTCAAATACTAATACGTTCTGTTTTAAAAGAAAAAATCCCACAGGAGTCTTGTTGACTTTATCTTTAGAAAGGAAAACCTGCAGTTAGTGATCTATCATCTGGCTCATGTGTGGCATGTGATATGTGCAGTGGACATGAAGTGTGGTTCCTCTGCATGAAGAATAACAGAGTCTAGGAGCAGCAGAAATGAGCATCAGTGCTATTATGCTGTGCCGTGCATTCCAAAGAACTTTCACACTTTGAGTATGCCATACATATTTACCCAAATTTTACACCTAGAAATGTGGGGTTTATTAAAAGGTAAACATTTTTAATGACTGGTAGCTCTTTACTGAGTGTAGAAAATTTACAAAAATCAAATTTTTCAGCTTTTCTCAAACTTTTTCTACTCTTTCCCCTTTATATCAGAAAACTCCTTTTATTAATAACCATTGTTAACTCTAAAGTTATATGTAAAAATAATGTTATCATTTCATTTATAGGCACTATTCTGTTTCATTATACTAATTGCCTAGGCTACAAATGAATAGTTGTAGTATAATTAGTAGACATATTTGATAAAGATATACACTAGCTTAGTATTTTCTTAACTTTACCTGATGTATACATTTTTAATTTTTACTAATGTGAATTCATGGCATATTAATGTATCATTTTTAAAAGTTTAAAATGTCAGCAATAGTGAATGAAAATTTTAAGTTAAAATTCTAAATTTTACTCAAACTATTGGGTGAATATGTTGTTATGTTCTAGGTGAAAACTGAGTTTTGCTGGACTGTCCTTCCATACTTGATTCATGATATTTTACTCCAAGATACAAATGAATCGTGGAGAAATCTTCTTTCTACACATGTTCAAGGATTTTTTACCAGCTGTTTCAGACATTTGTCACAAGCAAGCCGATCCACAACCCCTGCGGATTTGGGTTCAGGTGTTATTAAATTATTAGTATTTATAGTATTAGTTTCTTAGCTTCAGAGAAATTTAGAATTAAGCTTGAGACTGGGCATGGTAGTACATGCCTGTAATACCAGTGCTTGGGAGGCTGAAAACAGGAGGATCACTACGAGTCCGATCTGTAGAGTGAGACCCTGTAGACCCTGTACTAAATACAATTAAAAAAAAAAAAGAAAAAAGATAGGATTAAGCTTGAATACCATCACAAGCTTACTTCTGTAACTGTTTGTGTTTCCTCAACTAGAGAATAAGGATAGAAGTTGAAACAAGCTATCAGTCAATTAATGTTTATAAAGCACTTAGACTGATTCTTAATATATGTTAATACTGGATATTAATATTGAGACAACTAATTAAGCATCCCCTGTGTCAGGAACTGTGCTAGACATTGATAACCTAGATGTAAATAAGACCTCCCACTTTTCTGGCAATAGATAATACACTTAAATAAATTTGATAAAAACTTACCTGAGGGGCTGGTGAGATGGCTCAGTAGTCTAAAGCACCTACTTAGAACAAGCTAAGCTAAGCAAAGCACAGGAACCGCGGTTCAATCCCCCAGCACCACATGCCAGCCAGCCCCGCCCCCTGGTGGGCTGAGCTGGCCACACACAAACACAAAATAAATAAATTAATTAATTAAAAAAAAAAAACTTACCTGATTTCATAGTTTTAGAACTCTGGCCAGCTAACTTTTAGAAAACAACCTTTTACTTATCAAATCATGTATATTTATTACAGGAAATAAAGAACAGTTGCACACATTTAGAAAATTATAGGGGCTGGGGAGATGGCTCAGGGGAATAAATGCTTCCCTGGCAAGTGCAGGGACTTGAGTTCAATCCCTGGTTCTGGGAAAAAAAAAATTAACTCATCATCCCATAACCATGGTTAACGTCCTGCTGATTTTTAAAGTAAAAGTTGGACTATATTTTATCCTTCATATTATCTGCTTTCTTTCCATTATATGACATAAATGTCTGCAATGCTAAGAGCTTGAGAGCAGAAAAAAATTCTGTTAGGGTTTAGAGTCATAAAATACAAGCATTCATAATTTGAGGGCTTTTTATAGACCATTTCAAATCTAAATTTTTTGAAAGAGATACATGATTTACAAATCTTCACTAACTATATTTAATATGTATAAACAAAATTATGCACAAATTCATATGTTGTGCTTGAAGACCAATACAGTTCTAATAAAAGATACTGATTTTGACATTTTTAAATAAATAGCTTCTCCCAACTTCACTTCAGCACAGGTTGTAATTATTTCTCCCAGTTGTTTCTCAGGTTTTACCACAGACTTCATTTGAAATGATTCTGATATCGTTTAAGACTTCATTTTGCTATGCTTTATCTTTTATGTGTCTTTTCACTTGGCTAATAGTAATTACAGATCTATTTAGACAGAAGCTGGGAGTCGCAGAAAGTTAAGCGCTACCAAACCTCACTTGGTGGAGTCTAGAAATGTTGGTCACATGGAAGTAGGGAAAATAGTGGTTACCAGAGGCCTGGGCAGAGTCAAGCGAGGGAGGAGAGACCTGTGTATATTAAAGGGGAGATTAATCTTTGTATATCAAGTTAAATCAGAAAGTCCGAGCAATTTTGTGCTGCACAAATGGTGACTATCAACAGTGATAGTGAATTTTTATGTATTTTTTTAAAGTTAGAAGAAAGGATTTTGAACATTTTCTTTGTAAGGAAGTGATATAGGAGGGTATAGATGTTTATCCTAAATTGAACATTGCATAAGGTTGCACATGTATTAAAATATCAAATATCAATTATTTTGTAATTGTGAATAATTTTAATATGTCAATTAAAATTTAAAATAAATATTTGGAAAACTAATCATAAACAATCCTATAGTTGTCCATCCTGTGCCCCTTCTAGATTGTGAGTTCATCAGAATTATCTGGAATATGTTTGTATAGATTTTGAATCATTGAAATGAAAATTCTAAAATTCTCACACTTTGCAAACTAAACTGTATCTCCTGTCTTTAATCAGGGACATGGATAACAGCAAAGTTATACATAAACATTTAAAATTTAAACATTATGTAATTTAAAGTACGTTAAAAAGTTTTAGTATGTAGTTTGTAGTATAGCCAAAGGTAGTCATCATTTCTATGTAGTGTCAGTATTTTTGTAACCTTAAGTGAAAACTTAAACCTTATGTATAAAATTGTATTACTGAGCAGGATGGTAGATGTAGGTTCTTACATAGCTTAAATATATCTTCTGGGGGCCAGGGAGATAGCTTAGTAGAATAAGCACTTGCCTGGCAAGCTCAGGGTCCTGAGTTCAATCCCTGTTACCAGAAAAAAAAAGAGTAAATAAAAATAAATAAATATCTTTTGATGTTTCACTCCCTTCACACTCAAGTCCCATGTGCATGTGGGTGGTCCCAGGATAGAGTCATCTTTTTCATCAGTTTTGCCTGTCCTGCATGAATGCCAAATCAGTTGGCCAAGCCAAAAGCTTTCTCACTTATCTAGTTACCAAATCCTGCCATTTCTGTATTATAAATAACTTTACTCCCTGGCTCCTCCTCATTCTTACTACCCTCTAGCTCTGTGGCTAAGCACAGTTCAGATTCTTCAAGTTCTTTCTTTCTTCTGTTCACCTTAGATACTGTTAATATTCCCTGGCAGTCTGTCTTTTTCTCTTCTTCTGACCACTTTTGTTTTGGATCTCTTTTTCTAAGAAAGTTTTCTTATCCTTGCGAGCTTCCCTCCTGTATTCCTTAAGAGCATTCTAAACTTACTGTCATACTACTTAACACATAGTGTTGAGAGTCTCCAGTCAGTGAGTTCTGTGTGTCCAGAAATTATCTTATTCATGGTTATATACTGAGAACCTAGCACATAAAACATCCTAGGCATTTATAGTATCCAAGATTATTGCCTTTACAGAAATAAAATACAAATTGCATTGTAATTTTCTCCTCCTCCCTTCTCCCTCTTCCTCCTCTTCTCCCTTCTCCTTCCTCTTCTTCCTCCTCCTCTTCCTCCTCCTCTTCTTCCTCTTCCTCCTCCTCCTCCTCCTCCTCCTCCTCCTCTCCTTTTGAGATAGGGTCTTTCTATGCTATGTAGTCTAGGCTGGCCTTGAACTCACAGTGATCCCTCTTGCCTCAGCCTTCTGAATGCTGATATTACAAGCATGTGCCACCATGCCCAGAAATTCTAAGTTATATTAAGCCTATTGCTTTATTTTAAAAAGAATAAGATGCTATCAAAGTCCAGGTATTTATTTTTATTTTATTTTATTTATTTGTGTGTGTGTGTGTGTGTGTGTGTGTGTGTGGCCAGCTCAGCCCACCAGGGGGTGGGGCTGACTGGCATGTGGTGCTGGGGGATTGAACCGCGGTCCCTGTGTTTGCTAAGCTTGTTCTAAGTAGGTGCTTTAGACCACTGAGCCATCTCACCAGCCCCAAGTCCAGGTATTTATTAAGAATCAGTTTTGTGTCAAGTACTCTGACCAGAATCTTACAGTATAGAGAGAGAGGCAGACATAGAGACAAGAAGGAAGAAAGTGCTTAAGCAAATCTGTCTGTCTTTGTTTGTCAGAGTCAGAGCTCTTTTCCCAATGCAGTTTGGATAAAAAATCACAAAGAACAATGCTTGCTGTGATAGACTATATGAGAAGACAAAAGAGGTAAGGTAATAAGCATTGTTACTTGAGTTTGGGGTCTTACAATAGTTTATTTTATCTGTAAATCTGTGGGAAACAGGAAGTCTTTTTCTGTTGTGTTGCCTCTCTATTCTCTCTGTTTTTATTTTTTAGAAGTCATACATTGTATAATTGTCTTTTAAGTACCTTTATTACAAAGTATAAGTTTAATATGTGTGATAGTCATCAAATTTTGTATTCATATTGTGGCATGGAGTTTTTTTAATTTGGATCACTTATTTTACAGTATGGTGTCTTTGCTCTATTTCTCATGAGAGATTTTTAATAAAGCACAGGAATCACTGGCCTGTATGACTAGACAATTGACCAGAACTCCAAAAAAAATAGTGTAGTAGGTCTGTATGGATGGACCTGACTTATAATGGTTCACTTTATAATGGTATGTCAACTTTATAATGATATGAAAATGATATCATTGAGAAAAAAACTATGTTTAATTATGTTATTTCAGGTAGTGCTAACACAGTATGATCATCTCTCATGTTGCCAGGCAGTGACAGAGAGCTCTGGCTTCCAGTCAGCCCTGTGATCTCAGGATAAACAACTGATCTTCAACAGTGTGCTGTGTTGCTTAGTTGTAATGTTGAGTAGATTAGGTATTTCTAACTACTTTGAGTTAGAGTATTTTCAAATTATGATAGATTTATCGGGGTATACCCCTACCCTAAGTCAAGGAACATCCATAATTTATTGTTTATTTATTTTATTGAGAAACAAATAGCAATGAGACCGTTTCAAAATATAATTTGAATATGTAGAAATTGATGTCTTGTGAATGTGTAGTGGTAGTGGCAGTGGTTGATAAAAGAATAAGAGGGAATGGTAGGAAAAAACTGACACTGATTAACTTAAGTAAAATCTTCTTAAAATTCCTTTGTATCTCTTTCATACCATTCCACTGCACTTGTAGTTTTTGCCTTTTAATGTGCTTGCTTTTGGTTAGAAAGTTTCTAGTTACCTTATTCTGTAGCAGGTCGTCTTCTGAGACAGCCCACAAGAGGCTCTGTTACTGGGTGTGTCAGTTCTTTCAGCACTGGGAGGCAGTTTTACCTTTGAGTCCTTCACTTCAAACTTTTCAGGACAGAATGATGCTGACATTAGCAGGACTTAGAGAAGATAACAATTATTAAAATACTTTTGTTTTTATTTGACACAGTAATTGTTAAAGATAAAAGTTGATAGTATTCAAAGCTAGGCATAGTGGTTCATGGTTGTAATCCTAGCAGTGAGAAGGAGGCTGGGGCAAGATTGCAGACTTGAGGGCGGCTTGGGCAATTTAGCAAGACTGCTCAAAACAGTAGCTAAAATGGGCAGGGATGGAAGGGCTATGGATTTGATTCCCAGTACTGTGAGAGAAAAAAAATCATATTTGGTTCTAATTATCAATCAGACCTTTAAAAAGATTCTTGAGAATATATGAACATGACACTGAAATAGAGGCAAGGGGGAAAAAAGGTAAGGTCCCTGTCTCGGTTACTCTTCTCTTTTTGCTGGGACAAATACCTGACACCTAAAATGAAGGAAGGAAAGGTTTGTTTAGCTCACCGTTACTGGAGGTTTCAGTCCATACTTGGCTGGCTCCAAGGCGGAGTGGCACAGGGCAGAGAGCATCCAGATCATGGCGGTGGAACAACAATGGCAACAGAGAGAGTGAGTCTGTCTGTCTGTCTCTCTTATATTACATTCAGGCTGTCTGCCCCAGGCTGAGGGAAGTACACACAGTCATAATCACAGCAGTACTAAGACCCATAATCCCGGCCTTGGATCCCCTGTAATCCTGGTGGATCCTGAGTCAATCACAGACTATAGAAGTCCCCGCCCCATGACTGCATGAGGCTTTGGGGAGACAACTAGACACAACCATAACAGTCCCTGAGTTTAATTCCAAGTTCTGTAATATGGACAGAGTACTTTCTGTTTTTGAGCTCTGTTGCAGTCTTAATCATCTTTAAAATCAATATAATATCTCCCATAAGGTGGGGTGGTTTATGGGAATTGGGTAAGTTATATACTATACCTGACATTCAGTAAGTGTAATTTTTTTTCATAATTTTATTGAGAAATAAATAGCAATGAGACAGTTTCAAATCAAATTGGTAGGACAGTTATGTGTTGTACAAGATGCAAACATGATATCCTATTTACAAACACTATTAGAACAAATCATTCTATTCCTTGAATTAAGAGAATGTAGCGATATATCTAGCCTAACCATTTTGAATACACAGATACAAAATGGTCATTCGTGTATATCCCCTTTTTTTTGTTAAGTTCCCTCATTTAAGTATTATAGATGTGTGAACTCAGCAAAATATTCAAAAATAGTCCAGTAGTCCATAATAATATTGGGTCTTCCGCTTGACTGGCAATGTCAGAAGTTATTGATCTGAGTCCCCTACAGCTCAACATAACAACATGGCTTTATTTCTTGTTCTTCGTTTTTATACTTTTCTGCTGGATGGTTAAGACCAAGATAAAGCAAGACCTATATAACAAGAATTGTAGCTTTTGGATCTGATAAGGTCAGTCAAATCCCCTCAGGACTTATCCTGAGACCCTATACCTCAGATTGTAGATCCTTTGTCAGTGTCAGCCATGTGGATGAGTCACAGCCATTGTTTGGCCAGTTTGCTCTCTGTGACAGCCTGAAAGAATGTTTTCTCTCCATGTAACTCTCCTTAGGCACACTGCATCATCAATCACTTTCTTCTTTGGCCCCATAATCTCCTTGATCAAAAAATTTGGGACGCAACTGAGTTACATGACTTTATTTTATTTATTTGTTTGTTTGTTTGTTTGTTTGTTTGTTTATTTTGAGATAGGATCTCATTGTATAGTTCAGGCCAGCCTTGAACTCATATTGTAGCCCAAATTGGCCTCAAACTGTCACAGATCTTCCTGCCTCAGCCTCTCAAGTGCTGGGGTTATAGGCTTGTGCCACCATGCCCTGCTTTGTCACATCTTTGTTAGTTTAGAAAAAAGATAACGTGTAGTGCCTCCCAATTTGATGTGTTGTTACTACAATGGATTTTTTTAAATTAAATAACTCAACATAGGTCATAAATGAAAGAGAAAATATATTATTAGGAAAAGTATGTAATTGTGTCGTAGAAGAAACATAGTATTTTCATTAAGTTGTCTGTATTATAGGGGGAGAGAGAGAGAGAGATACTGTCTATTCTGTGCAGCCTGTTCTTAGCCAGTGGTGCAGGGATTTCTTGGTGTGGGTAGGACAAGTAATGAATGTAATGACAAGTAATGACACCCTCAGATATACAGGGTGATGGTCGGTAGCTTTCAGGAAATTTTTTGAAAGGCTTGTGATCCAAAAAATTTGAGAAACCAGACTGTTGATATTATTTTAGAGATGTTTACACTTGCAGAGTAGGGAACTATGGTTTTGGTTGTTTTATTGTGAATTTTCTGTTTTTAACTAGCAGTTGCTACCATTGTTTTCTATATTAATGTGATTTTCTTCTGATAAGGAAATTAAAAAATGGAGTGATATCATGTTCCATTTTTCTTCAGACCTTCGTCAGGAACAGTTTTTGAAGATGCTTTCTGGCTGGACTTGAATTATCTGGAGGTTGCCAAGGTGGCTCAGTCTTGTGCTGCACACTTTACAGCACTACTCTATGCAGAGATCTACGCAGATAAGAAGAGCATAGGTGACCAAGAGAAAAGGTAATAAAATTTAGGATTACAGGTTTTTAAATTGTTGTCTCCCATATTTGGCAAACACTCTCGCACTGAACTATATTCTCAGCCCGAAATTGCCTTTTTTAAAGCAGGCATGCATAGGTTTAATTTCGGTTAACAATAGGAGAGAGTGCTTAACAAACAGGGCTTGCTGTCTGATCTGACAGGTCTGTTTTGGCTTTATTCCCTGAGAGCTCTGATGACTCAGGAGAGCAGACAGATAATGAGTCTGTCTAGAGGGCAAGTGGGCATGGGGGCTGTAATCACAGCGCTGGGGAGACCAAGGCAGCCTTGGGGTACACAGTGAGTTCAAGGCCATCCCACACTGCCAAGCGAGACCCTCTCTCCAGACAAACGAACAGTGTGTAGAGGTTGTAGAACGTTAGTTTTCTTCAGTGGCTCTGTTGGAATGAGCTGAAGCTTTGTAATCTAAAGCACTCAAGAAAAGAGTAAGCAAAACAGGCATCAGCAGGTACCAGTGCTGTCAGGTCAAGAAAATGAATCACTTGTTTAAATTTCCTGAATTAAACAATTCAGATTGTTTAATAGCAAAATGCCTCAATTTAGGCATTCTTGATACATATAGTTTTCTTAACTTGCTCTTGAGAAAGTATGAGATTTCAATGTTAGCATCTGTAAGTTGTTTTAGAAAAAAGGATTTTTTTTTTCTTGGCTGACTCAGGCTGCCTAAGGGCAGGTCTGTTGTGGCACGTGGAGGTGGGGAATCTCACTGTGGTTCCCCTGCGTCAAGACTGATTTCACCCAATCATGTGCTTTAAACAACTGTGCTAACTGGCAGGCCCCCTGAAGAAAAGAAATTCAGAACTTCCCAAATAGGATTGAGACAAGTGTTGATTCATAACCTCAGTCATTTTGATATTCCTGATAGAACTCTTGGAAACTGCATATGAATATGTTATCTGAATAAATTATAACCTTAAATTTACAAAGTTGTGGAGGTAAGTCATACTAATATAATCATAGTTGTACTAATATAATCTTCCCAACTGTTCAAATTTCTGCCCCCAAAGTTTTTTAAAACATAATGTGGTAATAAGAAAACTACATGTGGTATCTAGTATGTAAAAGTTATAAGCAAAATAGAAGGTTGTCAATAGTATTGTTACAAAGTGCTCCCTCTGCCCATTGTCCTGAGTGCCTTCCAAGAGGTACTATGAATGGTATCTTGGATTTTGTGTTTTATTATTTTCAGAAGATGTTTCTGCCATTTAAGATGAAATGGGGTTTAGTGAATTATCTGTTTGTGAGCTTTACTAGAAATATTTTCATACGCAGTTTTTTCACCCAGGGTTTTTAAATAAGATTTATCAATGTTGGCTATTGGTCTAATTTTTTAGTACAGTATGGTAGAAGACGATTCCTTAATTTTTAATCCATTCACCTATCAATGAGGTATATCTTAAGTGTAGAATTAGTAGGTTATGAAGCATATAAATTTTCAACCTTTTGAGATAGTGCCAAATTTTTTTTTTAATTTTATTTATTTATGTGTGTGTGTGTGTGTGTGTGTGTGTGTGGCCAGCTCAGCCCACCAGGGGACAGGGCTGGCAGGCATGTGGTGCTGGGGATTGAACCGCAGTCCCTGTGCTTTGCTAAGCTTGTTCTAAATAGGTGCTTTAGACCACTGAGCCATCTTACCAGCCCAATGTGCCAAATTGTTTTTTAAAGTGACTATGCCAGTTTGTATCAGAAATAGAGTTAAGGAAGTAAATCGGTGGAAAGCTCTACATTTGAATGAAGTAACTAAAGTGCCTCTATTTGACTGAAAATGGTATAAAAAAAACTGAAATAAATTTATAGCTAAATACTAGAGTTACCATCACAGATGAAGACAGTATTTGTTTTATAAATACGGTTATTTTTATTATAGACTACGTAGCTTTTAAGATTTTAGAATTGAAGGTACTTAGAAAACTATGATATGCATATGCTAAATACATGATTTAAAGGTAAGGTCTTAAGAGTAGACAAACCTAGAGCTGGCCAGATAGCTCAGCTGACTAAAGAGCCTGCTTAGGCAGAGTGCAGCAGCCAGGGTTTGATCCCTGGCAGGCTGTGCTGGCCCTGACACCAGGGCACGCTGGTGCAAGCCTATAATCCCAGCACTTGGGAGGCTGAAAACAGGAGGATCACTACAAGTTCAGTCTTCGTAGTGAGACCCTGTAGACCCTGTACCAAATACATTAAAAAAAAAAAAAAGTGGACAAACCTGAGTTCTTACCCTGGTTCTCATTTATTTGTTTTATAATCGTGGATTTAAGTAGATACTAGTGTTCTACTGTTACCAGATTTCTTAATTTTTGTCACTTTATCAGGTGTCAAGTTACATTTTGTGATCTTAATAAGTCTGCCTTTCTATGAATGTTTTGCTTTACAAACTCCCCATATATAGAAGATTGTTAGTAAGGTATAATTTTCATTCACAGAATTAACATTCAGAAGTTTCTAGCCTACCTTCATTCTAAATTACATTTTGTTTTAAAGTACAAATTGTTTTATTTGTAACCTTCATTTGTTTTTTGTTATGATACATATATTTATAAGCTTTCAAAGAATATGTTCTCATTTTGTAAAATGTTCTTGTGGTAAACAGAAATCCTACATTTGAAGAAGGAAGCCAAAGTACAAGTATTTCTAGCTTGAGTGAAAAAAGTAAAGAAGAAACTGGAATAAGTTTACAGGTAATAGAGGCCCTGTTTATGACACCATGTTACACCTTGAATTATTACAGTGATAGCATTTGATTTTAAAATTGAATTTCCATAATGGGCTAAGCACGTATATAGATTTATGATTTAAAGTTAAGTCTTCTAGCAGACAAACTTGTGTTTGAATCCCGACTTGAATGCTTGGTCATATAATCTTACACAAATTACTTTGGCCTTTCCAACCTTGCAGTCCCTAATCTGGAAGATGGAAATAAAACCATGTATCTCATAGAGTGAGTTTGTACCTGGATTTCCTGCCATAGCACCCTCTCCATTTTTTTTTAATAACACTTACAGTTTATTTACCAGACACTGTGCTTGCCATAGGTACTAAATATTCCGATTTTAGGTACTTGATTTCATGTTTATGAATAGACAGATAAATTAGAATTAACAAATTGTACCCATATTGATGAATTTATATCTAGAAAATATTTCCCATAGCAAAAAGCATAAGGCAGATATTTTGCTTGATCATTTTTTGTGCAATATAGCTTCTCTTTTTTTATGCTTTCTACTTTCATTTTTATTTTATTGGTAATTTTAGATAGACTTCATCCTTCATGTGTAAATTTTACAACAAAGGTTTATTAATCTACTGAAATAATTTTGACTTTTCTTTCAAAATAAGATGTGACATTTTTATCTAGTTTCCATTTTTATGAATCAGATTTTGCAGAATTTCATTTTCCCGTGTATAATTTTACTTGATAACAGTTGTGTTTTTGTGGGCAGTTCTAAGTAAGGTTGTAAGGCAGTTCTACTACTGCTGTCGTTCTGTTGTCTAGAATCAGTTGAGTGAATTTTTTTAACTTTATAGCACAGCATTTAGAGTTAAGTGTTATGAAACTGTAAAAAAACAGTATTACAGTTTGCTAAATTTCTATGGTGATTTTCCCCTTCTGTTTTGATTACATTTCTGTTTTCAGGATCTTCTCTTAGAAATCTATAGAAGTATAGGAGAACCAGATAGTCTGTATGGCTGTGGTGGAGGGAAAATGTTACAGCCTCTTACAAGGTAAACTGCTTTGTTTCTATGTAATTCTGTTTATGAGGGAGTTGTGTGCATATAGAGCCAAAAAGTATTCTTACAACTTTTTTTGTAGACTACGAACATATGAACATGAAGCAATGTGGGGGAAAGCCTTAGCAACGTATGACCTTGAGACGGCAATTTCCTCATCAACCCGCCAGGCAGGGATAATTCAGGTACGTTGTTTCTGCTTTGGTATAGCCGTCGTAGTGTGGTGCTGGTATTGTTGCATTTTGTCAGCGGAATATTTAGACAGTTTGGTGAACTCAAGAGATATGCTTGGAAGTCACCTGATTTTCAGGCATTGGGGTAAAAACATAGATATGCAAAGAAAAACCAAACAGGTAATTGAGCATTTGGGCATAATCCAAATACATAATCCAATACATGGATAGTGTGTTTGTTAATCACAGTTTTTGTTAGCTAACAGTAAGAGATATTTCTTAAACATGTATGATATGCCAGGTAGTATACAGACAATACTTCTGCTTTACCTGGAAAAACTTACGTACACTTTCTTACTGTGTTCATTGGAGCTGATCCCCGAAGCTATCATTTCTATTACTGATCAAGACTCAATAACCATTTTCCCATCAAATAGTAGCTAGTTTTGTTGTTTTGGAGAAATGAACTAACTACGTGATACAGGATTTTAAGTGATAATCTTCAGTTTTTTTAAATTTTTATTTTTACTGGTTTTGTTTCTCTAGTTTTCTATTAAGGTTTTATTTACTTTTTAAAATAACTCCTCTTCAGGCTTTACAAAATTTGGGACTCTGCCATATTCTGTCCATCTACTTAAAAGGATTAGATCATGAAAATGCAGAGCAGTGTGCTGAACTTCAGGAACTGTACTACCAAAGTGCCTGGAAGAATATGCAGTGGGACCATTGCAGTTCTGTCAAGTAGGAGGAGCTTCGTTCTTTTTTTCTTCTAAGTTGCCTTTTGCATAGGTCTAAAAATGGCTTTTAAAAATTTCCTTTTTTTTTTCAGATCTGAAAATAAAAATATGAAAAAAAGGAAAAAAAATTCCTATTTTATGAATGCAATACTAGTTGTGTTTTTTTATATTTTATAATTTTATAATTTATACATGTATCCAAATGCTTAAATAAGAAAGCAATCAGCAGTTAACATACCTAGGCTTAAATTTCACCCTCCCCTCTCCCGCGGGACCCCCCCCCCCCATTTGGGCTTCTCCTTCTCCTATCTAACTGGCTTTTTTTGATGCAAGGTCTGGCTGTGTAATTCATGTCAGCCTTGAACTCACTGTGTGGCTTAGGCATTAACCTCATGGGAATATTCTTCTCTCAGCCTTCCGAGTGCTGAGGTTACATGTGTGCACCCAAATATTTTTCCCCAGCCCTTATTTTTTAAAATAGGAATAAAAAAGATATTTTTTAGGAGAATCCTCTCAATCTCTTGTTGGACAGAAGAATCCAAGAAAAGTATAAGCATTCATCTTTACACTATTTGCTGTAAACAGTTTAGTCAGGTGGCACTTTTATTGTCTGGGTGATATACAAAGGGCAGATTTTCTTTTATTTATGAAATAGTTTATTTTATGAAGAAATAGTTTTCCAGAACTAAATCAGTTTTCCAGGAAAATAACATTTGAAGCCTGTGTATAAGGGCAGCATAATTTGTAATGAAAAGTCTATTCTAGTGAAGGGTTTCATTTGATATACTGTTTTGTCTTGTTTGTTGTTTGCTTTTGGTGTGTTTTTTGTTTCAGGTGTGGTTTTGTTTAGAAATGGGGTCTCACTGCATAGTTTAGGTTAGCCCTCAGCTCACTGTGCAGCCCAGGCTAGCCTTGCAGGCACAGCAAGCATCCAGAGTGCTATGATTACCTGCACGTGGTACCACACGCAGTGACTTTCCCATGGTTTTTGAACTGTACACACTAAAACATTAAATCATGTTTAATTGTTTTCATAGTAAAAATTAATTGAAATGGCTTTCTGATGTCAAACTATATGATCATTACAAAATTAGAGATTTGGTCTTATATTTTAAAAAGATTTTATTGTTCAGGCAGTTTCTGCTTATGTGTGTAAATCCGCATATCTTTGCCTGCTGTTGCAGCTGCAGAGCCTTCTCTGTGTTTTTTCATCAGCCCATGCACTTCTTACATTCACTCCTAGATAAAGGCCTTAGATGTGTCTCGCACTTTTTAAAAAATTATTATTATTATTTTTATTTTTAGGGAAGGGTCTACAGGGTGTTAAGGGTTTTACTGCTAGATCAGACTCATAGTGACCCAGCTGTTCACAGCCCCCCAAGAGCTGAGATTACAGGTGTGCGCCACCATGCCCAGTCTCAATAGCTGCGGCAGGCCCAGGTATCAAACCCCTGGCCCCTGCACCTGCTTGTGGGTGCTTTAATCCACTGAGCTGTTTGGCCTGCACTTCTTGCACTTCTTTCTAGTTAGTATGTGGATGGCCACCTCTGATCATTCTTCAGAGAAACCTTTCATGACTACTTGCTTTAATTCTTTGTGCATTCCTTGCCATTGCGTGCTGTTTTTTTTACTGTGCAGAGAAGAACATATGCTTCTTGATACTATGGACCTGATGTCAATTATTCACTAAAGGCTCTCCTGCAACTAGAGCCTGGTTCCTAGTGCCTGGCACGTAAAAGTAAATTAATAAATGGAAATAAATTCAGAACTAGGCAAAATATCTGAGAAATGTCTTTATTGTATGCTTGAAAATTTTAATGGCCCACAAAATTCTTTTATTTCCTAGCAGAATGTCCTAGAAGTGTGTTTTTTATATGAAATCTTACATTTTAGTTTAATTTTTTGACCTTTGGTTGTAATATTTATGCATGGCTATCTTAGAATTTTGTTGTTAAATGTTTTTTTCTTTTTTTTTTTTTATTATTTTACAGTAAAGGAGTAGAAGGTTCCAGTTACCATGAATCCTTGTACAATGCTCTGCAGTCTCTAAGAGACCAAGAATTCTCCACATTTTTTGAATGTCTCAGATATGCCAGGTATCATAAAAAGACTATTATTTTTCACCCTTTAATTTTTCACCTTTCAAAACTTCAGGAGTAATTTCAATTTAAGGCATTGACACAGGGATACAAAGTTGGTGGCTACTGTCAGTTGTTTTCATGTCTTTCCTGTCTCTCAGAATTTTTCCTTTGTGACCCCAGATCTGTTTTTTTTTTTTTTTTTCTCCCTAAGCCCTCAAGGAAGTCTAATTTGATTTCTTTCTATACAAATGTCGTGAGAATTTTAACCTTGTTTTCGGTACTAGTTATATAGCATTTAGTGTCTTAATATTAGAGTTCTAGGGCAAAGGAGATAGCTCAGCAGTCTTAAGTGCCTGCCTGGCAAGTACAGGGACCCTGATTCAATCCCCAGTACCACATGCCATGCTAGCCCCACCCCAGGCATGCCCTTTGGGGCAGTGAAACTTGGCATGGTGGCACATACCTGTAATACAGCACTGGGGAGGCTGAAACAGGAGGACCACTACGAGTCCCAGCTGCATAGCAAGACCTTCTACCAAATAAAGAAATAAAAAAATTTATTTATTTATTAGAGTTCTAATTTATAAAATGATGACTTATGGTCATTGTTTTCAGGATTGTTTTGAAACACAAGATTATCCACGAGAAAATAATTAACTGTAATAAAAATACCCAATACCCAGAGTTAAGGATAGAAAGATTTACTTAGCTCACAGTCAGTAAAAGTTTCAGTCCATAATCATCTGACTCCAAGACAGAGTGGTGTATCAGAGGGGCAACAGTTCATGGCAGATGAAGACAGCAAAAGTAACAAGAGCAAAAAGCTTTTTATTACCATTTCACAACTGGAAAATTAAAACACAAGTTTAACAATACTTACGAACCAATATTAAATCTGTCCACATTGTATTACATTAGAACCGTAATATCCCACCCCGGGCCCTCCAGAGACTCAAGTATCCCCTTTGCATCATAAGCAGGCTCTTTGCCCCAGGGTGGGTGTTGCACTCATGGCATTTCCCTGTCTCTTCTTGCCCAGGCTCAGGGTATTTACAAAGTGAGGACCTTGGCCTCCTGCTGAGTCACTTCAACTTCTAAATTTGCTTTTTATTATCATTTCACAACTGGAAACTTGAAACACAGGTTTAACAATACTTATGAACCAATATTAAGTCTATCTATGTTATATTACATTAGAACCATAAAATTCCACCCCAGGGCCCTCCAAAGACTCATGTATATCTCTTTATGCAAAAGGCATGTAGTCCATCTGCAAGAGTTGCCAAACTCCTAACAATTTCAGCATTTTCTAAAAATCCAAGTTTCTTGGGGCTGGCGAGATGGCCCAGTAGAATAAGCGCTTCCCTGGCAAGCACAAGGGCCTGAGCTCAATCCCCGGTTCCACTAAATAAATAAATAAAAATTAAAAAAAAAAAACAACCAAGTATCAAGTCTTCTGAGGTTTAAAGCAAACTAAACTCTGCTGTGAGTCCCTGTATAAGTGATAATAAAGTTTAAAACTTCCAGCATTCAGTAGCACAAGATGAACATATTTATTTCAAAAGTTACAAACAGGGATACAAAGGGTTGAGACCAAAACAAGTCAAAGTCCATCAGGACAGATATTAAGTCCTTAGTTACATGTGCAGCATATGAGGCAGTCTGTGCCAAATTGTGGGCTCCAAAGGCCTTGTGTAGCTCTGCCCCTACAGTGCTTCCTGTGGTAATAGCTTCCATGACTTCTCTCTTAGGCCTGCTCTGCTCTTTCATTGCAGGTTTCCTCAGAGGCTCCATGTTCCTGGCTTTTCCAGACTTCTGGAGTCTCCACTGCACCTTTAGCTTCACCTTCACTGCTTCACATATTGCCTTCCCAGGAGCACACTGCCTGGCTTCCCAGGCCCTCTTCTGAAATCTGGGTGGAAACCTTTTTAATCTCAGAACTTTTGCATTTTATGTACACCTAAAGCCTTAGATGATTCCAAGGTCTGCTGCCTGCTGAAGCATTAACAGCATTTTCCTCACTCTTAGTTTAGGGCTCTGTCATGTGCTTAGATCACTGGGCACTCTGAATCCAGTTTTGAGGAACAGATTTTCTATGCTGCTGCCATTCTGGAACATGGTGCTCTGTGACAGTTTTCTTCTTAGAGCAAAGTCTTTCACTTTTGCAGTTTTGAGGCTGAGAAGGATGGAGACTTGCTGCTTTTTGTGATTTCCCTCAGGCCGTCTTTATGTTCTATTCCTTTCCAGCAATTAAGATATCCTCAGCTCTATCTTTGTACTCCACAGCTTTAGTGGAGCTTCCTTTCTAGAAAAACTCACATTTTAAACCATTATGCTGAACTCTATGCTCTTGATTCTCAACATAGATCTGGCTCAAAGCCCCCAGCAATAGCCATGCCACCGCTTCAACATTCACCTGCCTTGAAATTTCTTCTGCCGGTTTAATTAGTCCACCACACTTAATCTCAGACTCAGGCAAAATCTCTAGACATGAGCGAAATGCAGACAAATGTTCTGCCAAGCCATAATATGCATCATCTGGACTCAACAGCCAAAGTAGCCTTTCCCAGCAGAAACCTCCCAAACCTGGCTTTTACTGGCATGATTTCTGTCAGCCTTCTGGTCTTTTGAGCTCTGGCCAGAATTTCCCATACAGAAAAGCTTAAGTCATTCCAGCTGTACTCATTCAGGCGATACGACCTAACCTTTCCAGTCTCTTACCACAACTCATTCTCAAAGACTTTTGCATAACATGGTCAGGTAAGGTCACAGCAATGACCCCCACTCCTGGTACCAAATTCTGTCTTGGTTGCCTTACTCTTACTGCTGAGAAAAAAAATACCTGACACTCAAGTTAAACAAACATATTTAACATTTTATTTTTGTTTGTTTTGTTTTAAAAGGCTTAAAATTACTTGAATAAGTTGATGTTGTATTACTGATCAATTTCTCAGAAAAACTCCAAATTTAAATCAAACATGGTACATCAATAAAAAATAGACAGCATAACTAAGATAGGCAAGGCTAAGAGCTACTGTCAGACCTTCAGTATACAGCAGCCCTATTCCCAAGATTATACTAGGCCTATCAAGAAAAGCTGTGAACAGCAACATCATAAACACAACATATTTAACATTTTAAGCAGTAGTTGTTGACCTAATGAGTCCTATATTTATAGCAGGTAATATTTGGTACTACTTAGGTGATATTTGCAAACCAGTCTGTTAGGCTTTCTGTATGTGTTCTCTACTCTTCAAAATAACTGAAAGTGAAAAAACTTGGGCTTAGTGAAACTCAGTGTGTCCAGAATTAAAATAGCCATAAATGGTAGAACTGGGCTTTAGATCTCAGTGTGTGTGATCCCGAGACTAATTTTGTTTCCACTGCTATTACATAATCATTATTGCTTGTGAATATTAGCTGTTTCCAGGTCCACAGCAGGCCTGTCATTAGAACTTTTTAACTGCAACTTTGAAGTTTTATCTCTGCACACAGTTTATTAATTCCAAAGTATCTTTTATTTTGAAACTAGAGTAAAAGAAGTAGAAGAATTGTGTAAGGACAGCCTTGAATCTGTGTATTCACTATACCCGGCACTTAGTAGATTACAGGCCATTGGAGAGCTGGAAAACATTGGGGAGCTTTTCTCAAGGTATGTGATTCATAAGTCTAACCATAAAATGCAGTGTGTGATTTATTACTTTTAAATAAATACATTTAAATATTTTTCAGTTGCACTTTGTAATATGGTAAATTACAGTGTATACTATCTAAAAATTGGAAGTTCTTTGGGCTCCTCAGTTTCTAAGAGTGTAAATGAGTTTGTGGTACTGAAATGTTTGTGAGATGTTACTCTGGTGTCACTTTGGGACAGAATGAAGGTTTGGTTCATAAGAATTTGTGTTACTGTTTCCTTTTGTGTCAAGCAACAATAACTTTTGAATCTCTGTCATCGCCTTACCATCTTTCTACTTTCCCTGATTAAACTTATTTCTCTCAACGCAGTAGTCCTGATGGATTTGACAACATTGCTTAGTTTAACTTTCTAGGAAGCATATACTATTAATGTAAATAAGTTGTACAATAATAAATAAGGTTAGTAGATGAAACCTTTGCCAGATGTCAGCTTTTTCTTCACTGCATCATGATTTCTTTGACAGCTATAGTTACACATAGAGTCATCACCTCTAGATAATGAGTTTACCTTGTTTCATTGCCTGTAAAAAGAGCATAGAAGCAGTATGAGAGATGTGAGAACTTTATGATGTTCTCATTTCAGAGGAATCTAGAAGAGCAGGATTTTTTATTATTTCAAAGATTATTTCAACAAAACCCATGGTTGGATACCTCTCATGTTGGTCTTTTAAATGTGTTTCGTTTGTAATGTCTTATCAATTATTATACTCTCTTTAAGATAAATTTTTAAAAAAGAAGGGAAAAAATTAAGATTTCTTGAAAGCAAGCACTAATATTCAATTATTTGTCCAGTCTTATGTAACTGTATCAGTTAATTTGAGCAACAGATTTGACAATAAAAATAGATAATATAGCAACCACTGGTAATTAGTTCTTCCTGTTTTGAAAATCTGTAACATATATTGTTGTACGTTACCCTATTTCTTTTCTATTTCTTTTTGCTTCTGTTTTTACTCTTCAAAATAAAATGAAATGAAATTGGGAAAAGAAAGAAAGAGAGAAAGAAAGAAAAAACAAAGAATATTTTAAGATCTTTTGGCCCAGTCATATAGCTCAGCAGATTAAAACACCTGCTTAGGCAGACAGAGTGGCTAGGGTTCCATCCCCAGCATGCCATGCTGGCCCCGCTCCCAGGTCACACTGAGAGGGCAATCAAGACTGGGTGTGTTGGCGCACGCCTGTAATCCCAGCTTCTGGGAGGCTGAAAACAGGAGGATCACTACGAGTCCGAGCTGTGTTGTGAGACCTTGTAGACCCTGTACTAAAAATACAAAATCAATAAATAATTGATTGATCTTTTGAAAGTTCATCTTATATGGTCTCTGTTGAGTACTTAGGGGTCTGACCTCATAATGCTTTGTAGTTTTCTAAAAACAAATTCTGGTCTTGTACTATGTCTTGTGCTGTGTCTTAAATTTCAGAACATGCATAATTTTTTGACTTCTTGCTTACATAAACTTTGTGATTTGGCTTTTAGATCAGACATGGATACACAACTCTCTGAAGTATATAGTAAGTGGCAGAAACATTCCCAGCTTCTTAAGGACAGTGATTTTAGTTTTCAGGAGCCCATCATGGCTCTGCGTACAGTCATGCTGGAGATCCTCCTGGAAAAGAAAATGGAGAGCTCTCAGAGAGAATGTTTTAAGGACATTCTTACCAAACACCTTGTGCAGTTTTCTATTATGGCCCGAACTTTCAAGAACACTCAGGTAAATAGGATTCAGAATTGCGCCAGCTCATCTCTTGCCCTTTCTTTTTATTGCTCATATAATAAATAACTTGAATGAAGAAGAAATGTCAGAAATAGAGATGACTGTTGTATAGTGTAATTATTTAAGACTTCTTAGGTTGTTCTCAGTAATTCCAGTATTCTTGGCAGATGTAGTAGGAGGATTGCAGATTCAAGCCTAGCCTGTGCAACTTAGCAAAACTGTCTCAAAATGAAGATAAAAAATGAAAAAGTGCTGAGGATGTAGTGCAGTGCGAAGTTTAAATCCCCAGTATCACAAAAAAAAAGAAAAGAAAAAAAAAAAGACTAACTATAATGTTGCAATTAGACAAACATATTTAAGTCTCTGGCAAGGTTCTTAACTTCTGTCAGTATCCAGCTTATAAAATGAGAAGATGCCTAACTCACTATTAATTATTTAGTGATTCCACACAAAAGACAAGGATAGAGGCATTTGATAGTCTGACAAATACTGAAGTTCTCATTGTATGACAGTTGGTGCTTTCATTAGTTATAATAGTAATGGTACTAACCGTATTTATTTCCATGTTATGTTCATTTCAGCTCCCTGAAAGGGCAATGTTTCAAATTAAGCAGTATAATTCAACTGTTTGTGGAGTCTGTGAGTGGCAGCTAGAGGAGGCCCAAGTGTTCTGGGCAAAAGAAGAGCAGAGTCTTGCTCTGAGTGCTCTCAAGCAAATGATCAAGAAGTTAGATGCCAGCTGCACAGAGGTTTGGTATTTCCTTTTGTTGTAATTTTTTGTTATTGCCTGGATTGGTATTTTACAGTTATTTTGAAATTGAAATTATGTAAATAAGAAAAGGTATCTGAAAAATATTATTCGTAAAAGAAGCTTAGAAATTTTTCCCCTTTAGACCAAGTCTTAATCAGTTCATCTTGTAATAGGTTCATTTATTTATTTATTTTTTTTAACATTTATTTATGTATTTTGTGTGTGTGTGTATGTGTGTGTGTGTGTGTGTGGCCAGCTCAGCCCACCAGGGGGCGAGGCTGGCTGGCATGTGGTGCTGGGGGATCGAACCGTGGTCCCTGTGCTTTGCCAAGCTTGTTCCATGTAGGTGCTTTAGACCACTGAGCCATCTCGCCAGCCCCAATAGGTTCATTTAATTTGTCCTAGTATTAAATCTTCTAAGTTTCTCTAGAATTGAACAATATGTGGGGAAAATTTGAAATGCCTACTATAAATTGGAAATAGTGAGTACAAACTTGGAACAGGAAATGGCATGAAAGAACAAAAATAGAGGACCGGTGAGATAGCTCAGCGGACAGCGCCCTTATGCAAGGGCAGGTACCAGGATCCGATCCCCAGCATCACATGCTATGCTGGCCACCCAGACTGGGTATGGTGGTACACACCTGTAATCCCAGTGCTGCTGAGGTTGAAAACAGGAGGATCATTAAGAGTCTGAGCTGCATAGTGAGACCCTGTGCTAACATTATAAAAAAAGAAAAAAGCAAAAGTAGAAAAACATAAAGTAAGTTGTCGCAATCAGATTTTCATTGCTAATATTTTAAAGTATCACATCTCGTATTTAATATCCCTTATTTCTTATTGCAAACTTGTTTTGGCCACTTCAACTATATTCCCTGCATATGATGGATAGAATGGGGGCATTTGTAGCACTCATAAAGTGATCATAGAGGTTTAGAGGCCATGATGTCTCTCAGACATACCTGCTCAGTGAATCTTAGCTAACTGGACTTTTGAAAGTTGTATGCTTTTATGACAATCCTCCATTATTAGAGAATTCATCATTATGTTGAAGCACTGGGTACTGCTGTGTTTTTAAATGTTGTTTAAGAGTGTGATCCCTGAAATATAGACTATATAAAGTTATTCACCTTGTTTGTACTTCATTTTCCACATGTGCCAATGGAGGATAATAACAAAAGCCAGGTGTGATGGTACATGCCTGTAATCCCAGCCCTTGGGAGGCAGAGACAGGAGTTAAGGCCAGGCTGGGCTACAAAGTGAGTTTAAGTCTTGCTTTTGCATAGCAAGACCCAAAAAGACAAAAAATAAAATAATAAGGGGCCAGAGAGATAGCTCAGTAGAATAAATGCTTGCCTGGCAAGTGCAGGGTCCTGAGTTCAATACCCAGTACTGAAAAAAAAAAGAGGTTTATAATTATTGAATAAATTATATATAAAATCATTGAATAAATTGAGTTATTTCAATGATAATAACAAACAACAATAAAACAAAGAGTATAAGATGGTTATTTCATAAACTTACATACTTTGAATTGTATTAAAAAATAGTCACATGGTGGAAAAACGTGCTTCAATCTGCTGTTTCTCCCTGTACATGAACAACATTTTTGCATAGTCATGATAATGAATTACGTTTTTTAATTTTATGTTTTTTTAAACAGAATAATCCAGACCTAAAACTTTTATACACAGAATGTCTGAGGGTTTGTGGTACCTGGCTAGCAGAAACATGCTTAGAAAATCCCGCAGTCATCATACAGACCTACTTAGAAAAGGTAAGCTTTTGAAAGAACTCATGTCTTTCCACCATGACCAAGTGTACTTCAAAAGCAAACGAAAGTATGGTTGTGTTCCTTCATAAACTGTTACTGTTGGAGCTCTGTATAAACTTCAAAGCAGAATAGTAACAGAAGGAACATACTTTGAAAGTAACCCCAAGTCTGTCTTGTCTGTCCTCCTTGTTTCCTCTTCCAGCTACTCTTTCATAAGTTGTTTATGCTAACTTTTCTCCACACCTCTCCTTTTTTTTTTTTTCTTTTTTGGTGCCAAGAGTTGAACTCAGGGCTTTGTGCTTATAGGCAGGTACTGCACTATTGAGCTACCTCCATAGTCCTTTTCATCCTCGGCAAAAATAGCTGGCTAAGGAATATGCCATTCATATATAGTCTGGCCACCCAAAGACCTATGACTTTGACGTCTCCCCCCTGTTCTTTTAGTTTAATTTTGAAAATACAATAGCTACTTCACTAAATAATGCAACATGAAAAGTATGTTGTGTTTTAAATTTAATAGAGCTTATCGCTTCTCTGCCTTTTGGCTAAGATCAAGTGAAATTTAATAGAGCTTTTGTTTTTGCAGGGTTTTTCCCCCCAAGAAATTAGCTGTTACAGTTGTTTGAACATTGTTGAAGTTGTCTTGTAAAGTCAGGAGAATCTGTCCTTTGTACAGTTTAGATAAGTTAAACATTAAGTTTACCTTGATCTGAGTGATTCTGTACGTGTGTTTTTGCTATTTTAAATATAATTTGGTATTTTAAATATAATTTAAATGTGTGTTGTTGAAGGCAGTGCAGATTGCTCGAAGTTCCCATGAAGAAAGCAGTGATGAGCTCAGAAATGGAAAAATGAAGGCATTTCTTTCATTAGCAAGGTTCTCTGATACTCAGTACCAGAGAATTGAAAACTACATGAAATCATCAGAATTTGAAAACAAGCAAGCTCTACTGAAAAGGGCCAAAGAGGAAGTGGGTCTCCTAAGAGAACATAAAGTTCAGACCAACAGGTATCTAAGTGCCTACAAGTGTCAATTTTATGCTGACCAATTAAAGGAGTGAGTATGGTTTTTTTTTTTTTTTTGAGTGAATATGTTTTTATAAAAAGAGTGACTTGAACTTTTTATCTTATAGTTTTGAGCACTAAAGCTTGGCTCAAGTACAAATAGATTGTCTTGGCCCTATGGTGGTTAATCACAAATTAGTATGCAGTATACTGACACTTTTTTTTAATACAGAATTCATTCCCTGGTTTTATGCTTCATATGGTTATACATAGATGCTATCTTTTGGAGTATTTTTATTGTTAGTGAAAAAGAGATAGATAATGAAATAAATACAGACAACTGGCCTTTTTTGTTGTGATTAAGTTCCTATATTTAAGCCTGCCTTCTGTCTGTGCACTTTAGTATAGGTAGAGAATTGAGTTAAATAGCTTGAATAGAGTCTGCTTTGTCCTTGGTTGCCTGAAAGCCTGTGAATTGTACAATTATGATAGATAAATTTGTTGCCTTTATAATCCTTAGAATTTTGCTTTTTTTCTTAGGATAGATACTTGACTTTTCATTTATGTTGAATATGAAAAATATTTTTGTAGTTCTGTAAAATTTTAAGGCTTTTATGTTTTACTTTAATTACCTAATTCAAGATACACAGTAAAGGTTCAGAGAGAGCTGGAGCTGGATGAATGTGCACTCCGTGCCCTGAAAGAGGACCGGGAACGCTTCTTGTGTAAAGCAGTTGAAAATTACATCAACTGCTTATTAAGTGGAGAAGAACATGATATGTGGGTGTTCCGACTTTGTTCCCTGTGGCTTGAAAATTCTGGAGTTTTTGAAGTTAATGCCATGATGAAGGCAAGTCTTGTTCAACCCAACATTTGAGCTTGTGTTTTGAAAACTTAGCTGCAAGACCTTTGATAGCCAGTTTTGTATACCTCTTATGTTCCTAGCAGTATGCTCAGTGCTGTGCATGCAGGTGCGAGGCAACTTTTCAGTGATGCAGGCTCGTGTGCAGATGGTTTTTTGTCAGGGATTTCGCTGTCTTTGCAGTCAGCAAAGAGAATGAGTAGAATGGAGCTCTAGATTTGGAAACAGTTAAAGATGATGGGATCACAATGCATTTTTTTTCCATTTTGTGCTTTTGGGGAATTAGAATTAATTTTGTAAATGGAAGAAGAATTCTTAAGAAAATAGTGATATTTCCTGAAGTTTTATTTTTAAAGTGTTAGATTTTGGCAATAACATGTAATACAAGATACATGTTGTCAATCAACTTGAATGTTAAAGGTAAAATAATTCTCTTGGTTGAAAAGAATGATAACTAATCTCTGTTATGGTATGACTAAGTCATGTTACTTTTCATATGTAAAGAAAAATAGTTTTCCACTACTTCACTGACTTCTCGGGAGTCAAGTTCATGATAGGATTCAGATCTACATTTATGTTCTTTGGACGCTGGAGTATAAGCGGTGCCAAGTATTTCCATTGAGACTGCAATTTAATCTAGCAACCAACATTTTGACTTTTTTTTTTTTTTTTCATTTTGACTTATTAAATCAACCTCAGATACCCATTAGAAAGACATTGAGATAGGCTCAGAGAAAGTTAAAAAATGAAGTTACTGAAGTTTTATTAACCACTGTGTGGGGCTAGTAGAAGAACATTGTTTTAGAATAGTTTATTCCCTTAGATATGAGACTATTTGAAATGTGTTGTTTCTTAATTTTGCATTATTTTAATGGTAGAGAGATGGAATGAAGATTTCGTCATACAAGTTTTTACGTCTTATGTACCAACTGGCTGCTAGAATGGGGACCAGAACAATGGGAGGTCTGGGATTTCATGAAGTCCTCAATAGTGTAAGTAGGTCTGAAGATCAAACAGAGTCATTGATTTCTTTTACGTTACTGTGTAGTATAAAGCGAATACCACTGTCCTCTCTAGGAAATGGAAGTACACATTTTATATATATTCTCCCAGTCCACATAAGTTATTTTATTTCTTATTCCTTATCTCTCTGGCTTTGCTATACACACAGAAATACTCATGTTGCCACTGTGCAGTGTGTAAACAACATGTATTTTGATATTAAGTAAAATGAAAAATGTGGATTTTCTATTTTTTAATATGTATAGAACTAATAATTCTTCCTTTTCTGACAGCTCATCTCTCGAATTACAATGGATCACCCCCATCATGCTTTATTTATTATATTGGCTTTAGCAAATGCAAACAAAGATGAATTTTTGACCAAACCAGAAGCAGCAAAAAGGAGTAGAGTATCTAAAAATGCACCTAAACAAAATTCTCAGCTTGATGAGGTATTTGCATTAAATACGAATATGTTTTTGAGTTGTGATATTCTTTCCCAGAATATTCCTTTAAGCCTCAGGGATTTTAATAATGAATGCTGATTATTGTATTTCAGTTTTGAATTCTTTGGTATTATGATGATACCTAAAATTAGTTCAGAATTCTGAATGTTTCTCAGAACCAGAGATTTCAATAGTAGTTTGCCTTCTTTTTCCTTGCAGAAAGAAGCCAGTGGAAAAAAATAGATTTTTTGAAAGGCACCTAAGTCATTGGCACTTGACGTTGTTATACTTTTCATGTATTTCATTTCATAAGGTGATTGTTTAGTTTATATGTGAATTACAGTCCTTTCATTGTTTAGATTTGTGCATAAAGTTTTTTTCTGTTTTGATAGCTCTGGGAAGCTTAAATGTTGGGAAATTCCTATGTATTTTTTTTTATTTTTATTAATAGGATCGAACAGAAGCTGCAAATAAAATAATACATGCTATCAGAAGTAAGAGACCTCAGATGGTCAAGAATGTGGAGGCGCTTTGTGATGCTTATATTATATTAGCAAACTTAGATGCCACTCAGTGGAAGATGCAGAGAAGTATGTGTTTGAAAGCATAAATGTTGCTATTACTCCTTAACTTTCAGTGCTATTTCTCAGTTTACAGTGGTAACTAAAATATTTTTATTTTTAAATACAGAAGGCATCAGTATTCCAGCAGACCAGCCAATTAATAAACTTAAGAATTTAGAAGATGTTGTTGTGCCTACTATGGAAATTAAGGTAACTTACTATTAACTCTTAATATTTTTTACTTAAGCTGAGTTTATTTTTGTTAGATTGAAGTAGCCTTTCTATGTAGTGAACATTGGTTAAATATTGACAGTTTCATGTGTTTCAGCATAAAGGTTTTCTGTATTAGACTCCCTTTGTCCAAGCCATAAAATACTGTCTTTTGCTTTTTCTTTTCCTTCAGTTAGCACTTCCTGTCTTTCTTAAGAAAGTCTGTTCTTTTAATTTTGCAGAAAAAGGCAAATTTCCATGTGGTTTTACTAAAACTAAATTTTTTTTTGCTACTGGGAATTGAGGTCAATATCTTGAGCTTGCCAGGCTGGTGCAGTACCAAGACTTAATTTTTGACTCAGCAACAATGTTCCCAATTTTTTTTTTTTTTTTTGTATTTTAGGGAAGGGTCTACAGGGTGTTCAGGGTCTCACTACTAGATCAGACTCACAGTGATATGCCTGTTTACAGCCTCCCAAGAGCTGAGATTACAGGTGTGCGCCATCACGCCCAGTCTCAATTACCATCTCAACGCGCCCCGGGGGGTGGGGCTGGCACAGCAGGTCTAGGATCGAATCCCTGACCCCTGTACCTGCTTGCAGGGGCTTAATCCAGCTATTTGGCTGGTCCCCAATTATTTTTTTAAAAATTTCATATACTCTGCACTGTATAAGTTATATTGTATTACATGCTTAAGTAATAGATTATCTCCTAACTTGACAAGATATACATGATACCTTTAGCTATATCATAATTATCTTTTATTGCTTGAAATCCTGTATAGCCAGGGATACATGTAATAACAATGGTTATGGTTTACAAAGTGATTTTTTTTTTTTTTTTTTTTTTTTTTTTTGGCGGAACCGGGGATTGAACTCAGACCCTTGCACTTGTCAGGCAAGTGCTTATTCTACTGAGCCATCTCCTCAGCCCTTCCTAAAAAAGTGATTTTAAGTACCTTAAATCTATCAGATATATACATTAGAGCTCAGTGTGTGTTGCTCCTGAATTTGAAATGTAGCTGCATCATACGAATTAACTGGTTTCCTTCCAGCTATCTCAGCGAGTTTACTGAGCTGGGTATCTCCTACAAGTGCCAGAGTTAGCAATTATGATCTAAAACCTTCCCTCCAGCCTTTCCAAAATTGATATAAAGTTTTCACAATGAATTATTTTGTTGATGGCTTAACATACCTATATGATAACATGTGAATTTTGATTTTTCAGTAATGCTGTTATAATATGGCATTCCTTGATTTTATTAAAAGTTATTCAGGAAAGCAGATGCATTATTTTTGTATGAGTTTTAATACCTTTCCACTGTTACACATCTTTCATTAAACAGAAAATAAAGTTATAGATCCCATACCTACCCGCAGAACTTTATCATTCATTCCTCTATGAAGTATTGAAATTGTGATTTAGGAACAGGATATAGCTCAGTGGTACACAGTGCCTGTCTGGTAAGTGTGAAGCCCTGAGTTTGATTCCTGGTACCAGAAAGAGAAAAAAGAAAATTTTATTTAAAATAGATTTTTCTTTAAATGCAAATAATGTATTTGACCTGTTACACTTCTCATCAGGTGGATCCCACAGGAGAATATGAAAATCTGGTGACAATACGATCATTTAAAACAGAATTCCGTTTAGCAGGAGGTTTAAATTTACCAAAAATAATAGACTGCATAGGTTCTGATGGCAAGGAAAGGAGACAGCTTGTTAAGGTGAGACTTTTTCTGGTGTAGTCCCTAAAGGTTAATGATATCAAAGTTGAAGACAAATTTCATTTGCTATTTTTTCTATTCATTATTTGAGTCTGTCTTTATTCTAAATAACTGTTGACTGAGCAAAATTTGTGGAATGAAGTAGATTGTTTTCTAGAATCCCAAAGTTTGTTTTTGTCTTTTGTGAATCTGAAAAGCTGTTACTGAGCTGGGGAGGTAGCTCAGTGGCATAAGTGCCTGCCTGGCTAGCACAAGATCCTGAGTTTAATCCCTGGTACCGCAAAAATAGATAAATAAATAAATAAATAAATAAATAGCAGAAGGATTTTTTTTTTTTTTTGGGCTGGCTCATAATGCCTTCAGGGCAGGTTTGAGTCCTGGGGATTGAACCACAGCAACCTGAGCCTGACTGCTTTGTTGAAGCAGCCACTTAAAGAACTGAGCTAAGGGGCAGGCCCCCTAAATAAATAAATAAGTAAATAGCTGTCATTATGTACTGTTGACTCAAGTAAAAGAATACTGTTAACATGTGCTTTTTTAATGTATTTGTCACAGGATCTTTGTACGCAGCTCCGACTCTTAGTGATTCTCCTGTTTTCAGCCTCCCCAGCATTAGGATTATAAGCATGCCCCACCACTCCAGGGGCGGACAGCATAGCATGTGGTGCTGGCTGGTCCTTGTACTTGCCTAAATAGACTCTTAGTCTGCTGAGCTATCTCATCTGCCCAATACTGTTTACATGTAAAAGACATGGTTAGGTGAACAGTCAACGTGATTGATATTCAGATATCTTATAGAATTTCTTATTTCCATGATTAGAACAAGTTGAAGGCTTTTGCCCCATTCTGTGCCAGGTGCTCCTTAATGTATCAGAAAGAGCTGACATTGGGCACAGCTGGGGAACAGTGGGGAGACACAGCACTGTTCCACCCAGCTGTTTTGTAGTGTGCTTTCAGGTGGGGAATTGAGCTATAGTAGTCCCTCACTATTTCACAGTTTGACTGTCACAGACTCACTGTTTTGCAGCATTTCAAAAAAATATTAATCTAAGTTATTTATCATGGATTTTTGGCTGTCATGGGATTTTGTGCTAGTGTACAGTGCTGTATATATACTTATAGGCATAGTATATTTGTAGGTTTTAATGATTTTTGCCTAATGTTTTTTTAAATGTGTAAAAATAAATTTAAAATGTTAATTCTCACATATTAAAAGTATATTAAATCAAAACAAAAAGTATTGTTTACAGTATGTGTTTCTTTAGCGGATAAATACATACTATATCATGCAGTGTACATATGTTAAAATTATGTAGGCTTAGCAGTTTAGAAAATGGTTAAGAAGTGCTTTTAAAAGTGTGGGAAGGGTTTATAAAGCCTTAAAATATATGCGCTGGGGAGATTGCTCAGAGGTCTTAAGTGCCTGCCAGGCAAGCTCAAGGACCTGGATTTGATCCCCTGTACCACATGCTGTGCCAGCCCTGTGCTGTGCCGGCCATGGAAACTGGGTGTGGGGGCACACACCTGTAATCCTGACACTGGGGAAGCTGAGACAGGAGGATCACTATGAGTCCAAGTACCAAATAAATACATTTATGTATGTATATATGTGTATGTATATATACATATGTGTGTGTGTGTGTGTGTGTGTGTAATATGCACTAAAATATAACATTTGACTTGGCAGATTTTCACTTATCTTGGGGCTGTCTGGAACGTAACCTCCATGATAACTGAGGAACCACTGTCTTCTAATCATAGAAGAGCTAGAGGAAACTTCCTTTTTCTTTCAGTCTGCCTCCCCAGAGAAAGAATGGCAGAAGAGCTTAATTATTTAAGACAGTAAAGGTGGTCACATTGATTTATGAGTGCCTTTTGTGTCCTCAGATAGCTCTGTATGTTTTATAATAAGGTGAACTACGTTTATTCACGTTTGATTATTTTGAAGGGCCGGGACGACCTGAGACAAGATGCCGTCATGCAGCAGGTATTCCAAATGTGTAATACCCTGCTGCAGAGAAACACTGAGACTAGGAAAAGGAAGCTGACCATCTGCACGTACAAGGTAACCAGTTTGCATTCACTGAGAAGAGATGCCATTGCTTGGACCAGTGAGCAACAGGTGTTTTCTGAGAAGGACCAAGGAGTAGATAGTAGTAAATATTTTAGGTTTTGTGAGTCATACAGTCTCTGACACACAATTTTTCCTTTCAACTTTGAAAGGCCATTTTTAGTCACAGGCTGTAGAAAAATAATTGATGCTCACTTTTATTAAAAGGCCACCCATTGCCAGCTTCTTGGTTAGAAAATATAATTTTTTAATTTTCTTTTTAAAAAAGTATTCATTAATGTTGATTATGGGTAGTATTTCTTATACCCAACGGAGTTTATTTCTCCCCATCTTTGTTTTATACTCAGCCATATACTATACTGCTCAAACTTAACAGTTACACTCCCTGTATGAAGAAGCATATTCTTACAGATTCTTGTTGATGGGCATTTGAATTGTTTCCATTCTTGTGCTATTCCAAACAGTGTTGCTTTGCACTGCATAACCTTATTTTTTCTTTCTTCTTTTTTTTTGCGGTACTGGAGATTGAACTCTGGACCCTGCGCTTGCCAGGCAGGCAGTTATTCTACTGAGGTATCTTCCCAGCCCGTCCACTGCGTAACCTTAGACATAACAATTTCATATGTGTACTGGTGAATCTGAGGCATACATTTCCAAATTGATGGGTTAGAGGATACATGCATGTGATATTTGATAGATATTGCCAAGTTACTATTAATTGGGGTGTCTGACATTTACATTTCCTCTAATACTTTGCCTGAGAAGATAACCCTTAGATCACATCATCACAGTAGCTATGCTTGTCTCTCACGTTAATTATTATGTTACTTTTTTTTTTTTTTTTTTTTGTGACAGTCTTGCTGTGTAGTTCTGGCTGGTATATCTTCTTAAGGTATAAAACCTTGAGGCCGGGGAGATAGCTCAGTAGAATAAGTGCTTGTTTGGCATGCATATTTCAGTACATTAAAACAAAAAATATATGAAGTCAAAGACAAGATATCAACTAGGAAAATGAATATAATGTTATATGTTATTGTAATATTAGTAACAAGAACTTATTAAACTATAGTATCTAAAGAAGTTGCACACTAGTAATAAGACAATCCACTAGAAAAATGAGAAAATAATATGATCATTTCACAAGAAGGAAAGATTTGAGTGGCTAACAAACCTATAAGATGGTACTCTGTTAAGTCATCTGAAAAATACAATTTAAAACCACAGTGCATTGTAGTTACCAACCCTTGAGTTGACCAAATATAAAATCTGACAGAACTGTTTTGCAAGTTTTCTGGTGAGCAGTCACCATAACATAAGTTCTGGTCATCATAATTTTTGGCGAGTGGATAAATTATATACTCTTTTTAATAATTATTTAACAGTGTCTGCTTAACTAAGTTAAATATACCTCTTCCTTATGACCCATTCCTATCTACATACTGTATAGAGAAACTGGAATATGCTCACCAGTAGACTATCATTGCCATAATTAGTTTGGAAAATCTGGTAACAATGTAAATGTTAATATGCAACTGGATCAGTTAGATAGTTGTGGTATATGTACAGTTTGTAATTGTGAAAATGGATGACTTAGAAATAAATGCACTAATATAAATATAAAACATTGCTGAGTGAGATTTTAAAAAACAAATTATGCAAGCATACACAACTTTTTAAAGTTTACAACATTTGTATGAATAGCTTTGAAATAAAAATATAGCAGAAAATAAATGAACATGATAAATCAGTTAGCAATCACTTTAATGGTAGAAAGGAGCAAGAGATTGTTAAAGGATATAAATACGAGAAAATCTTAGATTTGATTAAGCCATTTAATGTGTAGAAAGTTATTTTTCACACTTTTATGCTTATAATGTGATAATTTTAAAAAGTTAACTTAGTAAAATTTTCATCTTATATTTAGGAAAACATCTCAGTGAAATTAATAAGATTGTAAAACAAGAAAACATGTTTGTATGAAAGTTGAAACTCCACTCATGGGTAATTTTTGCTTGGTAAACTTCAGTTTGATAATGCACATACAGGGAAAGTAGCTGCATGTGATTGTGCAGTGCTGTGACCCAGCTCCTCAGGAAACTGAAGCAAGGGAATTTCAAATTTGAGGCCAGTCTGGGCGGCATGCGGGGGAGAGTGACCCAAAAAAGTGTAGTCAATTCTTCTGTTAAGTGAAACAAATTAAGTATAGACCAGTTATAGATAATGAAGAGTATTGTGGGAGATTGAGAGATGGCTAAGCCCTTACAGGTTTCAGAGGCAGGCTTAGAGAATCATATTCTTTGAACTTAAGTTTATTTCTGTTGCTTTCCTTTAAGGAAAGGACAGAGAAATATTCATACCACTCAGTAAAATGCTTTTCACCTACTAACAGTTGAATGACCATCAGCCACTCCTTAGTGACTGTCCATAACCAAAGTGTTTACTTTCAGGTGGTCCCCCTCTCTCAGCGAAGTGGTGTTCTTGAATGGTGCACAGGAACTGTCCCTATTGGTGAATTTCTTGTGAACAATGAGAACGGTGCTCATAAAAGATATAGGCCAATGGATTTCAGTGCCTCTCAATGCCTAAAGAAAATGATGGTAAGTAGCACTCTAAACATTATTGAAAGGTCATTTAATAGCTTCTTAAAGCTGATAGCTACTGTAACTATTACAGAGTATAAAATTTTTTCATTTCATGTGGTAATCGTTTAAGATACTAAATTAAAAAATTAAGCTGGCTAGTATGAAAATATATTTGAGTGAAGAAAGAAGTTTTTTTGTTGTTGTTAATGAATGTTTGCAATATGTAGTAGTTGTGTTCTTTTGGGGGACTTACATCATTTTTAGTCCTTTCCTTTATCACAAATCTCCCACTGATGTTCTTCTCATCTCCAACAAATCTGCTTTCTTTTTTCCTACCATCTCTTTTATCTTAAGTAATTTATATCTTAGGTTTTCCATACAGAAGGAAACCATGCAATATTTAACTTCTTACATCTGATGTATTTCACTTTATGGTCTCAATTTCCATCCATTTTCCTGCAGTGACATAATTTTGTTCATCTTTATTGACAAATAATGTTTTATTGTGTACATTATGCATTTTCTTTATCAATTCATCTGATCATGAACATCCTGGCTGTTTCCACAGCTTAACTAGTACATATTTAACTTTTGTAAATATGGCTGTGTATGTATGACTACTCAAGCTTTGTGGGAATATACTCAGGAGAGGTATACCTAGTGAAGTAGGACCTTCATACTGATTCCCATAGTGGTTGCAGCAGTTTACATAGCCAGGACTTATTTTTTTGTGGTCTTGGTGATAGCCAATCTCCCTGATTCTATTTTGGTAAGTCATATGAGTCTAGAAATTTATCCATTATTTTCAGATTCTTTGATTTATTGGAGTATGTTTTCAAAGCAGCATCTAATAATCCCCTTAGCCTAACTTAGCCTAAGTTTGGCTGCGGGTATATCAATCATATTTATCCTTTCAAAGAACCAGCACTTTGTGGGCCAGTTTATAGCTCAGCAGCACAGTGCCTTCCTGGCAAGCATAAGGTCATGAGTTCTATTCCCAGCACCAAGAAAAGAAAAAGAAAAAATAATAATAATTTAAGGAACTAGTTCTTTGATATATTGATCTTTTGTAATTTTTTTAGTTTTGCTGTCAGTTTCATTAATTTTTATTCTGATGTTTGTAATATCTTTCCTTCTACTAGTTGATGGTTTGAATGAAGGATTTTTTTTGTGGGGGGTGCTGGCTCAGGTTGCCTTAAGGGCATGTCTGGTGAGGCAATGCAGATCTGGGAATCGAACCACAGTATCCTGAGCCTGACCGCCTTTGCTTAAGCAGGCACTTAAACAATTGAGCTAATGGGCAGGCCCCCAAATCTTCTTCTTGGACCTTGAGATGAATCATTAAATTACTCAGGACTGTTCTGTTTCTAATGCAGGCCCTCATAGTTATAACTTTCCTTCTTATGACTGTCTTCATTGTGTCCCACAGATTGTCACGTGGTTTTCAGTTATCATGTCATTGTAGCAATTTTTAAATTTCTTTGTTCATTTTTTTCTTATATATTATTCAAGAGTGAATTATGCAGTCTCCACATATTGGAGTAGTTTCTGTTGCTGTTGATTTCTGGTTTCATTCCATTGTGCTCTGCTGAGTTGCTGCAAGAGATTTCAGTTCTTTTCTATTTACTGAGCCATCCTCATGGCGTAAAGTATGATTTCTGTTGGAGAAAGTTCCATGGGCTGCTGAAAAGAATATGTGTTCTGATGTTGGGTGAGCCTTTCAGTAGATATGTAAATCCATCAGCTGGTAGTTAAAGCTCTGCCACTGCCGTGGACACCTCCCAGTGATGCATCCTCGTGTGAATCGGTACTCAGGCACCTATTCAACCTATTCAGAGTACTAAGACCAGTCCCTAGCATTACATTGCAAGGAAGGAAACACTGCCTGCCAGTAATAGCAATATCCAAAGAACCAGCATACATCAACATATTTTAAAGCTTATTTTTATTTTATTTTATTTTTGGTACCAGGAATCAAACACACAACCTTGTGCTTGTTAGGCTGCATTGTGCCTCTGAGCTATATCTCCAGCTTAAAACTCATTTTTAAAGTTCTCAACTCTTTTCAGTAACCCAAGAAGACTAAGGAACAGTGATATGGAAAAATAGAAGAAAAAAATTAGTTAAAAAGTGGAGGAAGAGATAATAGACAAAAGAGATCAAAAAGGAAATAGTAAGTTTTGATGATATTTTTATACGTGGAAAGAGAATAGAGAGGGATAGGAAGTTTAAGAAATGTGTGTGAACAGAAAGAAAAAAGGGAAGAAAATACATAGACATTGAATCCATTTAATAAACCAACAGAAAGTCAACACTAGAAGATCCAAGAAACAACCTTGATGGGGGGAGAACCTGTGACATGTCAACTTAAGACACTATATAAACAAAAATAATAACACTCATACACAGTTGTATATACAACTACTTCTCATACATAATCTATAAAATAAAAAAATAAGTTTTAATGATTTTTATTTATCAAATCTGAAGGAGGGAGTTTAAATGGAAAGTAAGAATACAGAGAGATTGAGTTGATTTAGTGATCTAATAGAAACACTGTTCAGTTGAGTGAAAACCTAGTATGTCAGGTTAAGCTATCACAGAGTGAAAGGAGTAGCTAGCACTTGTAAGTTTTACCAGTATATACACACCCTGTCTCCAACTCTTAAAAAAAAAAAATACTATTAAAAAGCAAAACAAGGGCCTGTGAGATAGCTCAGTGGACTAAACACCTGCTTAAACAAGTTTAGGAATCGGGGTTTGATTCCCGGCACCACCTGCCACACAGGCCCCACCCCGGGCGAGCTGAGCTGGTGACTGAGTGGGGCGTGGTGGCACACACCTGTAATCCCAGCACTGGGGAAGCTGAAAACAGGAGGATCACTGTGAGTCTGAGCTGCATAGTGAGACCCTGTACCAAATACTCTTAAAAAAAAAAAAGAAAAGAAAAAGAAAAACAAAAGCAGTCCAGTCTTCCTCCTTGTGATAGCATGTACACTAAAATCTAAATCAGACCCGATAACTCCAGCTCTTTTCAAACAGGGTAGGCCTGGTAAGTTTCCAGGGGCCTGAGTGCCACTTCTGAAAGGTTGTGGCTGAAAATGCGGTTAGATTGGCCACTGGTTGAGTTAATTCCCAACAATTCACTGCAACTCTTCCATAGGTGGAATGAGGGCGCCAGAGGGTGTAGACCAGTGGTGGCGCACGTAGGGCACATGTGCTGCGGCAGGCTAGATCATTGAAAGCTCTAGAAGGTTTACCATCACAAGTCTAGATCATGTCCATATCAGCTACTTGTGTTGTCAGCAGGCAAGTTCAGAGAGTGGAATAAAGCTTCAGCAAGGTTCCAGCCTGCTCTTCTGGAGGAATAGATAGCCTGTGACTGCATCGCACCCTGAGGACCTTGGGTGGATTGGAGAGGAGTGGGCACCCAAGGACCGCATTAGAGGCTGCTGACGCTCTGTCTTCCACTCGCCTGTGGAAGTTCGCCATGACTTGGACCCCTTCCTATGGGATCCCACAGGCTTCTTTTGCTCTCATGACTTTAGTTTTGTCACATCACAGCCTCCCTTTCTCAAGTAGCACACTAAGCGTTAGGGCTGGTAGCTAGCCCCTGCATGTTACATGGTATTGTTTTGGAGTTAGGAAAAATGTGTCGGTTTCCTGGCCTTGGAGGAGGGAGTTTGTCAAGAGGGCTTCATAATCTATTTCTGTCTTAATCTGTCGCTTTTGAATGAATATTCTGGAGCCATTAGTGAATATTACAGTCTCCTATGGTCTGCCATCTATTCTTCACCAGAAAGGTTTTTAAATTACACGAAGTGTCAACTGTTGTTGGATGAGAAATTTAATCGGCATCTAGTAGTTTTTCTAATTTGAGATTAAACTCAATGCTTTTTTTTTTAATATGCAGAATGGACTCATAGTGATCCTCCTGTTTTCAGTCTCCCCAGTGATGAGATTACAGATGTATACCACTGCATCTGGACTCTGTGGCCTTCCAGGAGATAGGGCTGGCACAGAATGTGGTGCTGGGGATCAAACTACGGTCCCATGCTTGCCTAAGCTTACTTAAGCAGGCACTTTAGTCTGTGGAGCTATCTTGCTGCCCCAAGCTCAATTCTTAAGATAGTAATTAAAAGAAAAAATTATGCAGTAATTTTTAAATGAAACTGATACAGGAAACCATTCCATGATATTTGTCCTCCCCTTAGCCAGTCTGACATTTATTCAACGTATCGGCAATATTTATTTATCGAATGCCTATCAGATACCCTGATGCAACTTCACAAATATTATGACTAATTACTATCATTTTTACTTCCACGTTAACTGAAAAAAATTAGCTTGTCCATAACCAAATAGTATAGCAAGGATTTGTATTTTGACCAATTCCAAAAATCTGTTTTTTTATTGTGCTGTTAACATGTTTTTTTAAAATGCATGATAAGTGCTGTAGATTTTGTAGTTCTATGTCTCCAGGGCACTGAAAGGAAAACTGTAGATATGGAAGAAGAATAGTTCCATTTGAGGGTGGGGATTAGATTCAAGAAAGACTTCATGGAGAAGTAGGTACTTGAGCCAAACTTTATCAGTGAATTTTCTAGGCAGAAAAAACATGTAAGCTACAGGAGGGAGGCACAAACAGGAAAAGACAGCATAGATTTAACTTTTGAAGAAGAATAGATAGATACATTTGGATAGTCAATGGTCAAAAATGGAGGGCTGCTTTATGCAGTGCTAAGAACTTTGCGTTTTGTTCTGTAAAGACAAAGGTACAGAAGACCCTTGAGAAGGATAGTAATGTCAGATTAACATTTTTAAAAAGGTAGCACTGTAGTGTGTTTTTGGAACTATTCCTCTTCCATATCTACAGGTTGGACGTATGAGACAGGGTCTGAACTAAGACTAATACTGGTAAGAATGAGGAATCCTGGGTGAACATGAGAAATTGTAAGGAGGCAGAACTGATCACAGATTAAAAGGTTGGGGAATAGTACAAGTTTCCTGGTTGCAGTGATTAAGTGGATGGTAAGGCTGTTTGAACATTTGAAGAATAGACAAGATAGCTGAGGTTTGCCAGAGATGAAAAAGTATTTGTGAAGTTGGAAGTGATCCAAATGAAGATACTGATTGGCCAGGTGAAACAGTACATCAACGTAGGGTATCTGGGCCAAAGATAAAGATTTAGCAGTTCTCAGCACATAGATAAGAGTTGAGCCCTTTGAAGTACATAAACTTCGCTTCAGCAGAGTATTATAAAGTGAAAAGATACTGGAGGCGAGGCCTGAGGCCCGTGATGCTCTGCCGCCCATCACGGTGCTTTTACTCTTCCATTCTTTTCTCTTCCCTATTTCAAACCTAATGCTGTGATGCCAACGGAGGTTATCTGGAGATACCTCCAGTATTTCTCTTCACTTCTATTTGATTTGGAATTTAATTAAAACAACTAATAGTCACTGTTGCTGTCCCTCTTACTTTTTTTTTGCAGAACCGGGAATTGAATTTAGACCCTTGCACTTGCCAGGGAAGTGCTTATTCTACTGAGCCATCTCTCCCCTCTTTTGCTTAAAGTTAATGAAAATCCTAAGGAGACTGTCATTTAAAAGTAATTGCTTTCTTGGCCAGCCTGTTACCTTCTTGTATGTAGATCTTATTAATCTTTTCATTTACCCTTAGAAACAAAGGTGACATTAAGCACAATATTAAGAAAATAACTACATATGATCTCTTTAAAGGATATACAGAGGAAGTCCTTTGAAGAGAAGTATGAAACTTTCATGGATGTTTGCCAAAATTTTCAACCAGTTTTCCGTTACTTCTGTATGGAAAAATTCCTGGACCCTGCTGTTTGGTTTGAGAAACGGTTGGCTTATACTCGTAGTGTGGCCACATCTTCTATTGGTAATCTCCTTCATCTTACTGGGTATAGTACTTGACAGCATTCTAAATTGCAGGGTAATGATGGTGGTAAGGACGGTTACTAACCAAATTATCTTCATCGTAGATCCTTGGGTTACTTATGCATCCTAATTTTTAGCTTCTATTCGTAGCATTTACAGACAAGAATTCTCCTCTGAGTAGGAAAGTAAGACTGGCTTTTCTTCATTGTATAGTGAATATTGGCATGTTTTTTCTCCTGTCTGTGTATTATTGAGATTTTCTTGGGAAGGTAAAATCTTTAATAACTTTGGTGAATATATTTTATTATTATTCTTTTGCTCAAAATCTCTATCACATCATATCACCCAATGATTTATTTTTAATAGAATCTTATTTCCAGTGTAGAAATAGTGATACAGATTTTGAATGTGATGTTGTGTGTATATAGCATTATTTTTGATCTATAAAAGATTAGAGTAGCTTGATGAAACAATCAATAAAATTCTAGCATATGAAAACAGGAATAAAAGAGGTCTTCTGATCTATTTTTTAACTAAAGCCAACTCCCTGCATAATGTGTGTACTCAGACACAGAGCATAAATGTTTTGAAAAAGTCCCCAGATAATTTGAAGCTCTTTCCTATACTGAGACTCACTAATGTGATTCAAGTGATTCAGTTCGTAGCAATTAACATAGCATCAGTCAAACACTTGGCTTCTTGATTTGTCTTTCATTTGGTTTAGTGTTTTAAGATATAATATTCTCTTTTAAAAACAGAAATCCAAGTTTTTCTGGATATGTACCTGCTCAAGTGAATTAATGATTAATTTATATTTCATATTTTGATGAAGCAGAAGTTTCAGTGAAGAATGATTTCCCAATTTATAAGTATACCCAATAAAAATTTGGGTGTATATAATGTACTACTCTGGCCCAGGTAAATAATGGGTCTCAACTTTTAACTACACTAATTTCCCAAGTACTAAATATTTTAAAACTTGTACCTTTTAATAAAGGAAAAAGTTTTTAAGCAAATTATCTACTTGAAAATGAAGTATACATTAAAGTAGCTGGCTAGATATACTTGAATTCAAAATGACCACCTCTGTATCTACTTTTCTTTAAATTGGCTAAAAAGCCTAAAGTTATTGTGATTAGTTGAAATTATGGCTAAGTGTTTATTAGAAATAATGAAAATTATTTTTTCCCCAGTTGGTTACATCCTGGGCCTTGGTGATAGACACGTACAGAACATATTGATAAATGAACAGACAGCAGAACTTGTCCATATAGACTTAGGTAAGTAATGAAAGATATATATTTTAATGACTTTATACCTGTATTCTTTGCTCACTAAGATACAGATATGAGAGAGATATATCGGAGAAATAGAGACACATGTACACATATTTTATATATTTATATTTTAAAGCATAAACACTGCTGTTAGAAGAGGTGTTAAGGGGCTGGTGAGATGGCTCAGTGGTCTAAGGCATCTACTTGGAACAAGCTTGGCAAAGCACAGGGACCGCGGTTCAATCCCCCAGCACCACATGCCAGCCAGCCCCGCTCCCAGGTGGGCTGAACTGGCCACACACACATACACACACACACAAATAAATAAATGTTAGAAGAGGTGTTAAAAGTCTTTAAGAAAGAAAAGGAGAATAAGACAGAAGACCACAGACTGGTGGAAGAATTATATTGCTGCACATGGACATAGTGATACAGTAAAAGCTGGAATTTGCACATGGTTGAGTAGCTAGAAAGAGAGATGAGGAGCAGGTTGTACAAAGCTTGGCCAAAGAGTTTTGATTTCAGTCTGTTAAATGCTAGGAGATAAAGATAAATTTAAGCAGAATATGATCATATTTGATTTTTTTTTTTTAAGAAAATTTCGAGAGCAAATTAGAGAACTATAGTGGCAGCAGGAAGATAAGTGAGGGAATATTTTAATAGTTTAGCCTAAATAGTCACCATTTATTATCTGAAGTTATACAGACTAAAAGACTGGATTTGAGGGACATATTTGTTATAAACTATACCAGTGATGTTGAATGTGAAAACAGAGAAAAGAATTGTCAAAGTGAGCGCTTGGCAGCATTCTAGGACTTCACCACAAGACTGCAACCCATAAGAACTCTTAAAAACACAACAGTTTAAAAAAAAAGTCCAATTGTAACATAGGCAACAGGTCACCAGAGCGATACTCAAATAGCAAATAAACATTCAAAAAGATATTTATCTGTACTACAAGTATATGTGGTAATTTATCCCACAATAGCCAAAACCTAGAAATAATTCTGGTTTCCTTTGTGGACATGTGCTTAAAGAAAGTGTTATACCTTTATCATGGAGTATTACTGAACAGTGCAAAGAAATGATATATTGATGTACGCAATTGAGAGGAATCTCCAAAGAATGCTGTTGAGTGAAATGCTTATCCTGTTTACATATCCTATTTACTTTCTAGTGGTAGCTAGAATAGGGATGGTAGTGAGAGTGACAGGCCAAAAGAAAAAAGAGAGTGTGGCTATAAAAGGGTGCTGTGAGGGATCTTTGGGGTGGAAATATTATATGTTTTAGCTACATCTGTGTCAGTGTCCTGTGTGATATTATGCTGTAACTTCTCAAGATAGTGCTATGAGGGAATTTTGGTAAAAGTTACATACAGTGATCTTTTTTTTTTAGTAGTAGTAGTACGTTTTAGTTATACATAATGATCACATTCATCATAGGGAATTTGTTACCTGTACACGGTATAACTTGGTTCTTTTTTTTTTTTTTTCCTCATTCCCCTACCGTCACTTCAACCCCTCTTCCTCTCCTTATTTATAAAAGCTTGTTTCCATTTTTTCCTTTTTTTTTCTTTTTCTTTCCTTACTTTCTTCCTCCTCCCTAGTTCCCCTTCCCATTTTAACATTTTCTTTTTATGTCACAATATGTGTTGAACATTTTGGTCCCTATATACTATTTTGGTTTCTCACACCAGAGAAACAATGCAGTATTTACACACGTGTCAGATTTATTTCTCTGAAGAGTATGGTCTCAGGGTGCATCCATTTACTTAGAAATGTTTTGAGTTTATCCTTTTTTATGGCAGAGTAGTACTGCATCAATGAAACACACCATCTTTATACATTCACTAGTTGATAGGCATTTGGGCTATTTCCAAGATTTATTATATTATTTCTTCTAAAATTTCAAAACTAAAAACAGCATTTAAAGTATTTAAAAGCATTTAAAGTACATATGTCATCTACATTTTAAATTTTACCAGATGTGAAATTCTGTCTTCTAAAATCATCTTTAATCTAGATTTCTCTGGTTATGTTAAATTACAGTGTTGGATTTCTGGTGAATATCTACTGTGTGTTTCTAGTACTGGTACAATAAAGGTGACAGATTATTGCCTTTACAAAAGCTTATATGATATTTGGGGGGAAGTTAGCTGTCACATCTGTACCTCACTGTCTTTGTTCTTTTAGGAGTTGCTTTTGAACAGGGTAAAATCCTTCCTACTCCTGAAACTGTTCCTTTTAGACTCACTAGAGACATTGTGGATGGCATGGGCATCACCGGTGTTGAGGGTGTCTTCAGAAGGTAAGGGAGGATGCATGGTGACAGATTATGTGTGTGTAGATTTGTACAGGTTATAGAATTATATCCTAGTGCCTCACAGTACTTGAGGGAGAACCCTGGGGATAGGTAAAGGTATGTTGAGAACCTAGGTACACAACAAAATCCTTATTTATGATGCATTTGACATTGTAGATGCTGCGAGAAAACCATGGAAGTTATGAGAAATTCTCAAGAAACTCTGTTAACCATTGTAGAGGTAAAGTGTGTGATCAGTATTTCTCTATCAGATAGACACTGGTTCTACAATAAGAATAAATGATAATATGGATGCCTCAATAATGTAGAAATTAAAGTTTAAAACTATATTATCATGTCCCTTTGCGTTTAAAAAGTTAAATTTTAATAAAGATCTAAAGCAGTGTAACATTCCCTAGTATTTTATGCTGCTTAGTTTCAGTCAGAAGAATATTTTATGCCTGTATGTTTTTGCCTGTATAGTTTTGAGAGTTCCTCACTCAGTGTATTGTTGGTTCATACATATCAGAAGGGTGCAGTTCCTTTGGTGCCCCAGAAGTCTCATTAGTTGAACCCCAAATCTTCCTGAGCTTCATTCTGTAAAGAGTGGCAGGAAACACAGTTAAAGTGATTGCTGCAGGATTTTCTGCGGGTTCGTACATAATTGGAAAGGAGCTGGCCGTAACTAGTGAAGGCATGAGCTTTGGTGGCAGTCTGTCTATGTGGCACTCCTGAACATGTCTCTTAATGCTTTCTGATTTTTCACTTACTTACATAATCTCCCTTCTGTAAATCTCCACAGACCATCTGTTGTGATTGTTCGAGCTGTAAAAGTGATTTCTCTTTTGATTTTATGAGGGTTTTCTGTCCTTGAATCCAGGAGTGTGCTTCCTCAGTGGTATCCTGGGTCCTAGGCCCTAAGTATGTCATCCCTCCTCTCAGAGTCTCTTTTGCTTTGAATCATGGTCTGTATTCCTGATCTATTAACAGTGTAAGTATCTCCTGCATCCTAAACCTGGCTTTCAGAGCACTTTGACTTCAATTCATTTCTCCTCAGTATTTTGACTTTCCTGGCCTTAAAGGTCTTATTTCTTCACCATGGACCATCCTATCCTCCAAGATTTTCTCTTTTCTGTTAAGGAAATATTTCTGCTTCCCTAGCTCAATAGTACTTAGCCAAGGACAGCTTTGTCCTATACAAGACAGTTGGCAATGCCTGGAGATACTTCATTTTTAGTTATAGGGGAGCATTAAGGTAGAAGTGATGTCGGGGGAGGCCAGGACACTGCTAATCATCCACACTGCACAGAGCAGCCCCTCCCAACCAGGAGGCATCCACCAGGAATACAGCAGACACTTCTGTTTTGGTGATACTAAAGGATGTTTTTTAATTACTCGAGTATTGTGGTTTGGTTTGGTTTGGTTTGGTTGGTTGGTTTTTTGTTGTTTTTTTTTTAAATTTCTGGTACTGGGGATTGAACCCGGGGCATTTACACAAAGGTACATCCCAAGCCTCTCATTTTTCTCTGTTTTATTTTGAGACAAGGACTTGGTAAGTCACTAAATTACCCGTGCTGGGCTTGAACTTAAAATTTTCCTGCCTTAGCCTCCCAGAACACTAGGACAAGGGGGTGCTCCACTGGGCCCGCCTCCAGTCCCTCCTTGATTCCGGTCCAGTATGTGAGATAGGACTCTGACACAAGCCTTTCTTTTTGAAATAGTTTGTGTTGTTTCTCCTTCAATCTAGAAAGTCTATATAGTGTCTTTGTAATAGAGGGCTTCATTCTCTACATTAGTTGATCAATAAAATATATTTCCTTTAATGGTAAAACTAATTTAGATCTGCAAAATGTAGTGCCATTTCAGTATCCAGCTTGAAGTTATATAGAAGCCCTTAAACTTAGACAAGCCACATTAAATCAAGGTCAGTTCTTTCAGTTCTCTCTCTCTCTCTCTTTTTTTTTTTGGAACCAGGGATTGAACTCAGGTCCTTGCGCTTGCCAGGGAAGTGCTTATTCCACTGAGCCATCTCCCCGGCCCCTGTTCTTTCAGTTCTTATTTTTGTTTTTTGTGGTAGTAGGAATTGAACTCAGGCTCATGCATGCTAAGGAAGCACTACAACAATGAGCTACATCTTCAACTCTTTATTTTGAGACCAGGGTCTTTCTGAGTTACCCAGGCTAGCCTCAAATTCATGATCCTCATGCCTGAGACTCTTGATTAGGGAGGATTATAGGCATGTGCCACCATGTCTGGCTAATTCCTCCAGTGTTTAAGGGCTCTGGAGGATGCTCAGAGTAGCCTTATAATTGAGATTTTGGTACTGCTGATCTAATAGATGTTCTAGAATTAAACATGCTGAAGACGTTTCATGGTCCCAGTTTGATGCCAGGAAACACAGTAAAGACAGAAGCAAAATAATGTGTCAGCCTCATAGTGCTGGCATGTCCTGCAGAATCATTTGCCTCTGTGATTGAGCCTGGAAGCATTTGATAATGCTTGACAAGAAAAAAGAATGTTCTGTGCTCATAAACATCAGGTAGTTAGCTAGTCTAAACTGTCAAGCTTAGAAATCTCTTACAACTCTGGTTTCTAATTTTTTTTTCCAGTTTATGAAATTTAAAACTTTGGAGCAGAGTACTCCTGGATCTTAAACTCCAGGCATTCACACTAAGCTATGTCCCGTAGCACTTTTGTTTTGTTTTGTTTTGTTTTTGTTTTTTTGAGACAAGGTACCTTGCTAAATTAAACTTACAGTCCTCCTGCCTAAGCCATCAGAGTGCTGGGATTAGAGGCCTGCACTGCCACATCAGGTTTAAAATTCAAGACTTAAAGCCTCTTGTCTACTTACACTTACTTGTCTACCCCATATAGCGTATATCCCTACCACTGCACGAGACCTTGGTTTTTGAGGTTTCAACACATTATACCCTTTTCTCCCCTCCACACTTATGTGGAGCTAATTAAGAGAGCCACACAGTAGGTTTGAGGTTTAGGATTGAGGTCAGAATGGACCTGGGAGACTCCTCATCACCCCCAGCTAAGCCTAATCTTTATCTTGGGACAGCCGCCTGTTGGGGAATAACACCCTACACAGCAAACTCCCTCACCCAGGACTCCCTCACCCAGGTCAGGAGTAGTGAGTAAAGGAAAAAGGTGATTGTGGTTATCTCCTTTTAGATTAATTTCACTCAGAAAACTTGGTTCAAGGGATCTGACCCCAACCCTGAAGAATGACCTGAGAATAGGGTGAGAGCCTTTGAGCTTTGTGGCGGTATAGTTTACTCCATAAGAAGACATGAAGCGTGTGTGATATACTTGCTCTGTCTTCTGCGTCAACTACCATCTGCCTGGCCTTGTGATTTTTTTTTTTTTTTTTTATAATACTGGTTCTACTGTTTTTAAGTACATGATAAAATGTACATCATTCCAATGCACATGTTTTCTCTAGGTCCTCTTGTATGATCCTCTCTTTGACTGGACCATGAATCCCTTGAAAGCTTTGTATTTACAGCAGAGGCCTGAAGATGAAAATGAGCTCCACTCCACTCCAAATGCAGATGACCCACAGTGCAAACGAAATCTTAGGTGAGCACAGCCACATGCTAGGAAGGACCTGTGTCCGTTGTTAGATGGTCTTATTCTCAAAGACCTTAAAACCACTGTACCGCATTGAAACCTTTGTGTTTTTGCCATCAGTGACACTGACCAGAGTTTCAACCAAGTAGCTGAACGTGTCTTGATGAGATTGCAAGAAAAACTGAAAGGAGTGGAGGAACGCACCGTGCTCAGTGTGGGCGGACAGGTGAATCTGCTCATCCAGCAGGCCATGGATCCCAAAAATCTCAGCCGACTCTTCCCAGGATGGAAAGCATGGGTGTGAACTTCAGCTTATGAGTCACTCTTGAATTTAGTGTTTAGAGATCATATTTCAGCCTTCATTTTTAACAGTCATAAATCAAGGACTAATATTTAAGTGAACAGCTATATTTTTAAAAAATACTAGTTGATTCACATACCACCCAGAGATACTTTGACAGTATTGAAAAGTATCTCTGCTCTTACATGTTAGACATAGTTATTCATACTCTACTTCTAGGCAAAATATTCATTTCTTCTCAAGATCATATCTATTTTTAGTAGAATCACTGACTTACATGTTTATAACAACCCTCAGAGTGATCCATCTCCCCAGCCTGATAGTTCTTTGTTTGGTATAAATTAGAATAAATATATTGAGGGCTGGGGAGATAGTTCAGCAGCATAAGCATCTGCCTGGCAAGCACAAGGACCCAGGATTTGATCCCCAGTACTGTATGCTGTGCTGGCCCCAGAACCCCAGGTGTGGGGAGACTGAGACAGGAGGATCACTGAGTCTGAACTGCCTAGCAAGACCCTGTATAAAAAAAAGAAAAATAGAATAAATATAATGAAGTGTTGTTAGGGCTTTCAATATTAATCATAAAATATCTATTTACTGAGTACTTGACATGTTATGGTAACATCTCTCATCTTTACTGTAAAACCTTAGGAGGTTATTGGTGTTATTCCAATTTATATAAACTAAAAGTGGGATAAATAAGATATAGTTTACAGCCTGGAAGAAAGTTAATTGCACCAAAAGACATTTTAGGTGGAACTGTGCAGATCCTTAGGTGAAAGCCAGTTGCTCACAGGGTTAATGAAAAACAAATATATAGAAGCTCCTTGAAAAGCTAACAAATTATATGCTTAAACAGTTGTGTTCAGATTAAGGGAAGGGAGGTAACAGCCCTCCCACACATGCTTACTTCCTCAAAGCAGCTCCCTAATCCAAATAAATAAATGAATATATCTCATAGTATATACTTAAAATGTAAAAAAAAAAAAAAAAAATGCATTTAGAAATAAAGTAAAAATGTGAACACAGTGTAAAGCAAATATAAACAGAATAGGAAACCTTTGAGCATCTCAAACAAGCTAGACTGTCAAAAACTGGAAGACCAGCCGGCATGGTAGTACACACCAATAATCCCAGCATTTGAAATGATGAGGCAGGTGGATCTCGTGAGTTTGAGGCCAGCCTGTACTACACAGTAAGATCATGTCTCCAAGAAAAAAAAGGAAAAGAAAAATAGAAGGCCAGTGAACAGACTTGAGAGAAATTTGCCATTCAGGTGTTCGCATTGCTCTTTAGTGACATTATGTTTTGTACAGGTTTATTTTAGTACAATTGAATGTATTTCTTGACTTTACTGTTACCTATATTATAAAATGGGTTTTGAATAAATTTTAGAAGATAGTATATGCTAAGACTCATTTTATTCAAATAGTTTGAATAATATATGTGTCAGGCATAGGGCTGATTCCTCGGGAGACAACAGTGAATAACACAATAGGCACAGTTGGCCCATGTAGAGAGCTCAGAGACTGGGAAAGATAGGCAATTGACATCTCAGTGTGTACTGCGGAGTCTGCCTAGACCACTGTGGCATGCTGCATCTAAGTATTAGAGCTTTTAATTAGTTACCTCAAGGTAAATGAATGTACTTTGCTTGGGCCTAGAAAGTGAGCTAGCTGACATTCTAAAATACAAAGAGTTGTACTAGAATATGACAGAAAAGTCTGATAGCCTCAATATGAAATTCTACCTATTTAGCATTTTTAAAAAATAAATTAGCCCCTCTTGGGGTTCTTACTGTGTTTGTCTCGCATCAGCCCAAATGCGTTCTATACACAGTGGAGCCAAAGGTTAGACTCAGAATTGGTATCACAGTGATGTCATATAATGGAAAATGTCCCTTAGAAAAGTCTCTTATGGGGGTCTGGCCCTTAGCTCAGTTCTTTGACTGCTTCAACAAAGCAGTCAGGCTCAGGTTGCTGTGGTTCAATCCCCACAACTCAAACCAGCCAAACCTGCCCTGAAGGCATTCAGAGCCAAAAAAAAAAAAAAAAAGAAAAGTTTTTTAGGTTCCCTTAGAGCATACAGCAGAATGTATAAATATGTACCTTCATAGTATTGTTATTTAAAAGGAACATTCTTATTCTCCTGGGTATGAAAAAAAATTATGTCTCAACTGTAACTCAGTAATGACTAGGGAGATCTAACTTTTGAATGTGTTCACTGGTCAGTATGATTTTCTCTTTGATGAATGCCTTCTGCATATTCCTTGCCAATATTTCTACTAGTCCTTTGTTGGTTACATCAGTACTGACATCTTTTCCAGTTTTGTAGCTTAACTTGTTCAGCCTCTTAATATTTTTGGTGAATGTTTTTAATGTTTTCATTTCTCATTCCATTTTTTTTTTTTTTTTTTTTTTTTTTTTTTTTTTTTTTTTTTTTTTTTTTTTTGTATTTTAGGGAAAGGTCTACAGGGTATTCAGGGTCTCACTACTAGATCGGACTCATAGTGATCCACCTGTTTACAGCCACCCAAGTGCTGGGATCACAGGCACATGCCACCATGCCCAGTCTCAGTGTCACCCCAGGGGTAGAGCCAGCAGGGAAGGGCCGGCAGGGAAGGCCCAGAGATTGAACCCTGGCCCCTGTGCCTGTTTGCAGGCGTTTTAATCCACTAAGCTATTTGCCTGGCCCTTAAAGGATTTTTTTTTTTTTTTTTTTTTTGGTGGCTCAGGCTGCCTGAAGAGCGGATCTGGTAAGGCTTTTGGAGCTGAGGATTGAACCGTGGTATCCTGTTACTGACTGCCTTTGCATGAACAGGTGCTTAAGCAACTGAGCTAAGGGCAGGCCCTTCATTCAAGTTTTTGTATAAGGAATTTCCCCTTTGTTTGTAAAGCTGCTTTCATGTCACCCAAAGAAGTTTTACAATTTTCTTTACATAAGTCTTACTGGTAGGCACTTTTATTTATTTTTGTAGAGGGTATTTTTTCATTACTATCTGGGGGTATTTAGATTAAAATTAGTTATTATATACTAGTTTTATATCTAGCAACCATGATAAACCTTTATTCTTTTGAATTTTATATGTACATAATTAATGAATTTCAGATATGCTTCTCATATTTTCTTATTACTTTTTCTTGACTTACTGGGCTGGCTGCAACCTCCATTTAGTATAATGATCCACAGAGGCAGTGATACTAGAACATTCTAGTCTTGCGTCTGATCTCAAAGGTACAAATATTAATGTTTTACTGTAAAACTTTCTGTCAGTTGCTGGATTTTAAAAAGTTTATATTTTATTATCTCAATAGAGGAAGATAAAACATTCATATAAGTCAGCATTATGTTAAAAAGTAAATAAATTAAGTATGTAACATTCCTTGACAAAGGATATATATGATAAGTCCACAGTCAAACTCCTGCACTAAATGGGGAAAAGGTGAAAGCCTTTTCTCTAATGTCTGGAATACAGTGAGAGTGTCTGTTCCCACAGCCCCCATTCACAATGGTAATTGTACTGGCCAGAGCACTTAGAAGAAATGAAAGTCATGCCAATAGGAGGCAGGAAATTGGGATATGATTTTATCAATAGAAAAGCTTAAAGACTCCATGAAGGCTATGAGAACTGATAATTGGATTTAGTAAATTTCAGGATACAAAATCAGCAATTTTATATACCAGTAACAAACTTGCTGAGCAATCATGAAAGCAGCCCTGTTCACAGCAGCTTAAAAAAAATTACTAGGTCTCCGGTTCCTCAAAAAAAAAAAAAAAAAAAGTTACTAGGAATAAAACTCACCAAGAATGAAAAATCTAGATGGGGTGTGGTGGCACACTTCTATAATCCCAGCACTGGGAAGGCTGAAAACAAGGATCACTAGAAGTCCAAGCTACATAGTGAGACACTGTACCAAAAATGTTTAAAAAAAAAAAAGAAAGAAAAATCTACAATGAAAATTATAAAATACTAATGTAAGAAACTGAAGAAGTTCGATCCCTGGTACCGCCAAAAAAAAAAAAAAAAAAAAAAGAAAAAAAAAACTGAAGAAGTTACACACAGAAAAGCCCCTATATTTTCATGGATTTTAGGTAAGGTTAAAATGCCCATACTTAAAGCTGGGTGTGGTGTCACACACCTGTAATCTCAGCACTCAGAAGGTAGAAGCAAGAGGATCACCAAGAGGCCAGCCTAAACTGCATAACGAGACCTTGTCTCAAAAAATAAATAAAAAATCCATACTATCTAAAGCAATTCATAAAATCAGTGTAATCCCCATCAAGATTCCAATGACCTTTTTGACAAAAGTAGAAAAACAATCACAAAATTGAGAAGGAAATACCCAAACTCCAAATAACCAGAGCGACCTTGAGCACATAAAAACCTGAAGGGATCAAAATACTTAATTCAAGACATAGAGGTATAGTAACCTAAACACTACAGTCCCCAAAATAAACCCATGCACCCACATTTAGCTCGTCCTTGATGGTGCTGAAAATGCTGGAGAAAGGCCAATCTCTTACTCCCTATGGTGCGGAGAAAACTGAGTATGTGCAAAAGATGATAATTTGACCGCTATCCACTGCCCTATATAGAAGTCAACTCCAAATGGATCAAGGATCTAAATATAAAACTTGGCACTGAAACTACTAAAGCAAAATGGGAACCATGTCAGTTCATTTACAGGCGACTTTTCTTGATAGGACCCATAAGCACAGGAAACTACAGATAGTCTTACATCAGAAAATACTACATAGAAAACAGAATGAAGAGACAGTTTACAAAATGAGAGAAATACTTGGAAAGTATTGATCTGATAGAAGGTGACTATCCAAAATACGTACTGTATGAAGAATTCAAAAATGTAAACCAAATCCCGTTTTAAAATGGATAAGTGATCTGAATAGATAAATTCTCAAATACAAATGGCCGCAAGTACTTGGAAAGATGCTGAATATCATTAGTTACCAGGGAAATGCAAACAAGTAGAGAGTAAGTGAAATTACCATCTCATTGCAGATAGAATGACTCTTTAAAAGGGTAGAAGGCATGTGGAGAGAGTGTACTCAATACTGTTAGTAGAAGTTAGCATGGCAAATACAGAAAACAGCATGGAGGTTCCTAAAAAAAAAATCATGTCCAAAAGCCCCCTTGTGAATATATATCCAAAGGAAATGAAGTCGCTACACATTGCCAAAGAAATACCTGAACTCTCAAGTGTATCAAAACAGTATTCACAGCAGCCAAGGTACAGAATCAGCCCAGGTGCCCATTGGTGGATGAGTGGAAAATGTGGGCATAAGTGGAATATTACTGTCACAGGGAGTGATGGAATCCTGTCATTTGTAACCAAAGTGGGTGAAACTGAAGGAAAATAGGTGAAATAAGCCAAACAGGACATGTACTGGAGATTCTTACACATAGATGCAGGGGACAAGTCAATCTGAACGTGAAAACATGAGACCCAAAGGCTGGGGACAGGGAGTGGAGGGAGTTTAGAAAGGATGTGGATTGGGAACTGAACACAGAAGGAGTAAGTTCTGGTTCACAGCACGGGGTGACTAGTTCATGATCATCTGTGGTTTTATGAGGAGCTACAAGAGTAACTTTGGAGACTTCGGACATTAGATGATAAGGTTACAGGGGTGCTAATTACCCTGATATGATAAGTACATGTGTACCCCAGAAACATGTACTGTTACGTGTGAATATTGTTAAAAGTTTAATGGAAAGGAAAGGATGGAGGAAGGGGGAGAGGTAAGGAAGACACAAGGCCTGTTTGGCCTTGAGGTAAATGTATAGAGCACTCTGTTCTGTGTGTCTGAAAAAGTGACCTCAACCAGAGAAAATCATCAACATGAAGATTATTAAACACTTAAATAAATAGAGTGTCTTTATTTAGGTGTGACTGTTAGAATGCTACAGATTCTTAGAATATCAAAAATAATTTCTCTTTTCCATGACCACTGTATTCAGGCTAACATTCTATTTCTGTTCGCACTTCCTGATTTAAGTGGGCTAGATTCTGTGACAAGAATCCATTTTCAAGTTATTCTAGTCAGACTGAGCTGTCTCTTAGTTCCAGCTGATAAATGCAGGACTTAATGGCCCAGAGCTCAGAAATTAAAAATCCATTATGCTTCCATTCCGTAAGTGGAGTCGGGTGTTAATCTAGTAGAGTGTGGTTTTCCATAACCATTTTCATATAAAATATACGGTGCTCCCATTTGTGCGTTTGATTCATCTTCGTAGTCATACATATTTTTCTTTGCTTGCTGAAAACGGAAACCTAAAGAGAATGACATGATTAGAAAGATGCCAGGTGTAATAAAATATTCA